ATCCTCACACACTTCCTTCTAGCCCTGTCCCTGTGTTCTCACCCTCCGTACCAGCTACATCCTGCTTGTGATGCTGCACGCTTGGAGGTGTTGGCAAAGGGCAGCTCTCCCCATCCTGGTAGTGTCTTGGAAGCTGTTCAGCAATGAAAGCATCACAAGGTAATCAATCAGAGCTATCTGCCAATTTGCACTCTCCCTGCAGGCTGTTCCTGCTCAGCGATGGACATTGATGTCTGTCCCCCCTTATGTATTTCAGGTATTTAATGCTTGGGCTGAGTCTTCTACCAAGCACAGTTATATATTATGTATTTCTGAGTAGGGAACCTGTATAGTTGACACTGGTAGAAGGGGCAATGCTTTACCTGCAGGATAACCATCTCTGCCTTTATCAGAAAGTTTCCTGTCATCTATTAGGAGAAAAGAGAAGAGTGCCAAGAAAAGGCAGAAAAAGCAGGTTCCCACTTGAAATCAGATAAAAATAATGAAAACTCTGTGGGTTTTTTTTCATGCTCCTGTGGTGTAAAGCAGCAAAGCATCACTGTGAACCATGAATAATGCAGCCAAAACAATGAGACCTACTGCAAAAATGAGAAGGGAATCTGCGCCTTCCCAGCGCCATCGGTAACCCAGGCTGTTAGTCTGCTTGCATACATCCTTTGGTATAGACTAATTGAAGATGAATTAAGAAGTGGGAAAGGCTCCAGGAGATAAAACTGCAGAGCAGTTACAGAGGAATGTCCCACACCTTTGAATATTACCAAGCCCATTCCCCTGAACAAAATGGAACATTGAAACCAAGCAACTCTTCCATTAACTCTGGACAGGTACAGGTGTGGTCCAAGGCAAACCACCTTTACTAATCACAGTATTCGCTGAAAGCAAAGCAATCTGATTGTGTTTCAGACCATTTTTAATAACCCTGAAATCATGACTGCACTGGGACCACGGTTTCATCAGAGAAAATCTACAAGCAACTTGTTTCCAATGCATCTGACAGTGAAAAAACCCAAACGCCGGTGGCACACACACGCAGGACCAAGTGTTGTATTCGTTCTTAATGAAGCATCTTCATTAGAGAGAAGATAACGCTGGGAGCGTGAGGGGTTCCAAATGGTCAGCTCGACTGCCTTTGCACAGGCTGGATTGGCCGCTGGAGGATGGAGTCTGGCAGCTTGCAGCAATGGTTAACCTGAGCGATTGGGTGCATCCGCTGGACAGACACCCAGACCCCACTAGAACATGGGCATGAGCGGTGCCTCTCCTGTATTCCAAGTGCACGTGCGTGTGACTGGAAGAGATCCCTTTGGATGGAGGGGGAATGTGAGAGGACAACAGTCGGGCTGCTCCCGTAGATGTTAAGGTTTCATGGGTACGTCACTGCCTTCAGAGCAACGCAAGGATCTGGATGAAACAGTCCAGGAGACCTGCAGGGAGCTGCAGTCGTCCTGTGCTGGGTGGACGGGCCCATGGGCTCCTTTGGGTAACCGCTAAGGAGAACACTGCGCATCACCGGCATCCCCAGGCATGCACGGAGCTGCTCTTTACCTTGGGGCTGGTGGGGACACCGGGCATCCACACAGGTTATAATGAGAGTCCATGTGAGCTCCATATCCCGTGCGGCAGAGCTCCCATTCCCTGAAACTGGCTACGCAGGACTTGAGCAGAGCTTGTACATTCAGCATCAACACAGCGATACGGTGAGCACACCTCCATCGGGACCACGCGACAGACATCTAGCAGCAGTTCATGCACAACAACAGGAGATGATCCTTACAGGTCACCTCTGATCTGGTACCACAGGTTAGGCTCCATTCTACAGCTGCCCATAACCCAAATCCTACTGGGTTTGTCAATTCCATTTCCAGACTCTTACAACTCCAGTAATTCTTAACATACACAGACATCCATATACACATTTGAATTAAAAAGCTCCTTCACATACACAATCATCTATTGAATTATCAAGAACAATAACACATTTCTGGAGCAGAAGAGCAAACCCATCTGCTTTGACAGTGCCACCCCCAAACTAGACAAGGAACTAGGAAGTTTGACAGTTTCAGACCATTTAGGAAACAGGAATTCTGTTGCCTGAAGCCAGGGGAGCCATGGAGTGATAGTGCCATGGAGGGGACTGGAAATGCAATGTACAGAAAAACACAACATTGGCAGAACCTGTTTTGTGGTAGAGATTCTGGAGCCAGCAGGAGAATCCTTCTCATCAGGAGCTAGGTTCACCATTGCAGCAATACTGGGTAGCATTAAAGCAGAAAAGAGTAACACTGAAAGTAAAAGAAGCTACACAAACCTCCAGACTGATCTCGGCCACAAGCTGTATTGCCTTTAACACAGCAGGGTGGATACCAACTTTTTAAGAGCGCATCTGATTTGCAAAAAGCCGTCTCTGCCAACCTTATGGAAGACAAAAGCTCTTGATGGCTAAAACACGTGACTGTAAGGGACTTTGATGTCCAGGCAAACAAAACCCAGGGACCCTGAAACTCAAGAGGAAAAAAACCCAAAGAGAACTGAAAGCAATCAAAAGACCAAGGAAGGAGAAGAAAACCGAAGGCAGCTCTCTTCTGAGGGTTTCATTACAAACATCTGTGCAACTTCGGGGCAGTAACAACTAAAGAGAGGCTTCAGGCTGGGTATTTCTGTTTAGAGACCAGACTTAGCCACCCCGAGCCTAGATTTGGCAGTTTTTAACTGTATCCTATCTGAGGCAAACTGCCAGCTCTTGAGAGCTGTTTGGGTCCCCCCAGGCCCACAGGCCTTTCTTATTTAATGTATGGCAGAGCAGCCGATGGCCCTGGTGACAGCAAGGACAGGCGACAGTCGTGTGGGTAGAGCTGTGCAGGGCTGCGGACCATTCTGATTAACCCAGGCTAGGTTTTTCCCTTCTCCACTGACTCAGTGGGCTGGGTTAACTGCAGCAACTCACAGCTATAGACCTGTCAATCCCACTGCCCATATGAATCACCTTGGTGCCACCGAGAAGTGAAGAACTGATTTGATGAAGCTGGAGAAGGTAAGCTCGTCTTTAGAACAGATGGAGCAAGGCCAGGTCCCTCCATAGACTTCCTGTGCTTCACCTCCTGTGCCTAATGTTAGCCACTGGAAATACCTTAATTTCAAAGCCTGAAAGACCAAATATGAAAGTATTTTGCTGTTTCTACCTTATTTACAGTATTTGCCCACCTCATACAAATTAGTGGAACTGGTGGTTTGGAGCTAGAGACATAAAGGTCCAGAGAATGGGAGGCAATGGGGTGGTAGAGTGGAGCCTTCAGCCTCTCACCAGTGCCAACAAATCATCCTCTACATGACTAAAGACATGAATACATGAGAAACCATCATTCTAACAAAAATGATTACTGCAGCACTCGTGGATGCACTAAGCCAAAGGTTCATGGTACAAGCATTCCAGGTATGGGAATGCCATCACCAACACGCAGACTGAAGGGTGTGTGATGAAACTTGCAGGAGGGATTTGTCTGGCTGTACACTTGATTCTCATTAACACTGAAAGAGTTAAACTTCTTCCATGAAATACCTTAACAGATTTAAATATATATATATATATATTCAGTATCCCCTGCTTAGAAGAAAAATACACATTATTTCAACAGCCAAGAAAAAACTGCAATTTATTAAGTTTCAAAGAATCTTCGTACTCTTGAAAGCAACTTTCGGTGCATGTTCTTTAACAATCACATTCTATGAGGAGAATAAACATTAAAAGCCACAATTGTTGGTTTGTTTTTTAATCTCAGAGTTACAGACATCTTGAATCCAAAAGAAAAGGCAAAAACAAAAAACCCAACCAAAAAAACAAAAAAACAAAACAAAAAAAAAGCCCCCAAACACCCTCCCCCCTCCCCACCCCTAAACCAGAAATTTTCATTCCCAATTTTAAAATATCTGGAGTTTTTTCTACAACTCAATGCTAAAGTTCAGCATGGAAAATCGTATGTAAACACGCACATACACACATACATATTTTATATAAGTGTGTGTGTATATAAGCTATATAAAATATATATGTTGGAGGCGTGTAATGGCAATGAGATGCAATTACTCTGAGGAAAGGTTATTCAGCTAAATACACTACTAAACCTCGAGAGAAAAGAAAAACAAGTCTTGAACCCAGTTTGTGCATAGTTCATGATCCTCTAGAAAACCAGCTTTTGTTAATTTGCAATCTTGCAGGACCCTTTACATCTGATAAAACCATTAAAAAGCTAATCTTCCAAAAAAAAAAAGAAACAAAAAAAAAAAGAACAGAAAGAAAACCAAAAAAGAAACCAAAAATGTAATGCACAAGTTTCCTGATCCAAGCAGGCAGGGAGCACAATGTTCATATAACTTTTAAAACATACGTGAAGTGTATGTTATTCCATTGTCTTTCTTCCTTTCAAAACAATCAAAAACATTGATCTTTTCTTTTAAACATAAAGCAATTTTTTTTTTCAATATATAAAGCACTCTTCAAACATCTATTTCTTTTTGAGTCCATTATTTGGTAAATATGTAACTGCTACACATTAGATTAGGTATTTTCTTCTTTCTTACTGTCTTTTTTTTGATTTTCTTTTCTTTTTTGTGGTTTTTTTTTGTGGTTTTTATTTTTATTTTTTTTTTTAGTTTTTTTTTTTTAATAATATCTTCAGTGCTAGGAGTTGGGTTTTAAAAATACATGAAATGGTGTGGAGTTGCTCCTCGGGAAACCCGGCTTTCCTGAGACATCTTCCACCATGTGCAAGATAGTGATCACAAAGGTATCGCCACTTTGACGACGAGGAGGAAAAAACAACAACCCAAAAAAAATATATATAGTACACAGCAATGGCCAAAGAAAAGGAGAATACAACAACACTGTTCAATCCCAGAGCTCTGAAGTAGCATATCTTCATTCTGAAAATAAGTTTTTCTTTACGATGGAAGTCTTTTTTTTTCCTTTTTATTTTTATGTTTTTTTTCTTTTTTTTTTTAATTCCTTTTTTTTTTTGTGTGTGTTTTTTTTTTAATTTTATTTTAAAGTTTGAAGGAGAAAAAAAAAGGTCTGTAAACAGGTGGGAGCCACAACTCCTGGCTCCTCCAAAAGCAGTCAAAACCTATGTCCAAGTGCTTGTTTCTGTTCCTGCTTGCAAGGGAACTATCAACTCTTTACAATTAACTATGGCCACAGTTCAACAAGAGTATTTTTTTTTGTTAAACTTTATATTCCGAATGGAAAAATGGTGCAATACTCCGGTAATTTTCTTGCATTAGTCCACAATAAAAAGCTGCTAAAGGTAGATATACATATTATTCTCCAGAGATACACACTGTCATTTTTAAAATGCGATAAGAGTCCTTGAGTAAACATTTACACGTGAATTGTCGCCGGCCCCTTCTATCAGTTCCTTTCCTTTTAACTTTTGACCATTCTAGGATTAGCTACAAGAAGGGCTGCGGACACTCAGTGCAAAGTTAGAAGCTAATAACAATTAAACATTTGACCAATGAGCAAATAAAAAGCATATACTGAATAAAAGGAGAAAATTCACCCTTTTAGTGAACCCCCTCCCTGGGCACACAGGGACACACACACCCGCACAGGCACCCGCACGCACACATACGGCTGTTCCAACACAAACAGAGGCTGAGCTTGAAGAACAAAAATCCTTAGAGCCTGGTTTTTGTGTACTGATGCCGACCTGGAAGTGTAATAATTCAACTTAGAAAGTGTTCACATTTTGTTGTTGGCCTGCTGGATTCAAGTATTTGCATGTTGATATGGTTTGTGGTTTGGTGGGTGGTTGGGGTTTTTTTTTGTTGTTTGGTGTTTGTTTTTTTTTTTTTTTACTATTTTTTAATTTTTTTTTTAACTTTTATTTTTTTACTTTTTTATATTTTGGGGATTAAAAAAAATGACATGGAAAAAAGTAATGAAACAAGGGTAATGTGCATAGGCAGATCCATGGGAGTAGTGGACACAGAGATAGCCCAACCCTGCCCTCCCCCCAGCTCAACCTGTACAGTCCATAGTTACCATTCCAACTCGTCTCTTTTCTGTACCAATGGTAAATATCACACTTCACCCTTTCTGATTATTGGGTCCGCCTCTGGTAATGTGCATAATAGTCACAGGCTCATTTTAAATAGGCTTTCAATTTCCCCTTCCCCTCCCTCCCCTCCCCCAGTTGATAAAATAACCCTTTCCAGCCCAAATTCTGAAAAGTGCCCTTCATGATAGACCTATTCTAAGCAGCTTTTATACTTCGTTTTGAAAAAATCACCATACAAACATAAAAAGACAACATAAAACAAAAAGCCATGAAAACAAAAAACAATAAAACCTGTCATTAGCATGTGACACTGACCAAAAGTAGCCCATACTGTTTCATGAACAGTTCACAAGGACTTCTGCAGTTTCATAGTCGATATTGGACAGAGGTACTAAAAAGGGCTGCCAGTCTGATCTGTTAAAGCTGGATTCTTCATCAAGCCCGGGACTGGAAAGGGTTACAATTTTATTTTTCCTTTTAGTGCTGATGATTGTTATTTTCCATTTTGTTTCTCTTGTTTCCTAGATGGACTCCCCACTGAGAAGATCACCCGGAAGAAGAGTATTCAAAGGTGTCGGGCTGCCGATAACTCTGCCGTCGTCGGTGCTCGGGGGTCCCCAAAGGCTGCTGGAGTACTGGGGCACCCCACCCCAGAGCAGGTCGCTGCTCCCCTTGCCCCCCAGGCAGGGAGTGTTCCAGTGCCCAGTGTCATTGCGCACCAAGCCGTGGGAGCTGCTGGAGGAGCCCAGGCGGGTCTGGTTGGTTCCAGTGTTGGACTGCCAGCTGGAGGTGGGCGGCAGCGCCTGGCCTTGTGCTAAGAAACGGTTGACTTCTTCCTCACCAGCAAACTCGGCCAGGATAGTAGTGTTTCCCAGGACACACCTGAGGGCAGAGAGAAAAGCTGGAGCAACACAAAACAAGGGGTGCAAAGGGCGCTTCTGGAAACATCCAAGATGGGTATCGCAGAATGGTTTGGGTTGGAAGGGACCCTAAAGCTCATCTGGCTGTGCTGGGAACACATTTCCAACATCTGTGCTCTGAAGTTTGGTTTGTACTTCAATGCAACTCACCACACATCCTGCAAAGTTGAAGGTTTTGTCTTCCCCCCAAACCCCATTTCTTGAAAGCTCACTTTAACAGCATGTTTAAAATTCATTTCCTCTGTGTATGTTTAACAAGAATAACTGTGTGACTAATGCAATGGATGCAGAATTCCCCCAGGAACCTAACTTTTATCTTCTAGAATTCAGTTTGCAACCTGTATCTTTTAAAGAGAAGATAAACCTACCTGGCACTGTCTGCCTAAACCTCTGGATCTCTGTGTTAATTCGGTCTCCCTGTTGCAGCATGTGTATCTCTGAACATACACATAAAATCATAGAATAGTTAGGGTTGGAAAGGACCTTAAGATCATCAAGTTCCAACCCCCCTGCCATCAACAACTATGCTTTTGTTGCAATACACGTGTTTGTGATGGCTGTCCCCCCTCACTGCCTGACCATAGCCTCTGGTTTGGATGCCATCAACAAGCTGGGTTTGGGCAAATGCTCCTTGCTGAAAATCCCATCTTGAGGACTCCTACTTTTCCTAAATGTGTAAGTGAAAAGATCCAAATGCAGGCTTTGAAAACCAGGCATGCTTCTACCTGTTAACCCAGCACTGCCAAGTCCACCACTAAACCATGTCCCTAAGTGCCACATCTACACATCTTTTGAACACCTCCAAGAATGGTGACTTCACCACTGCCCTGGGCAGCCTGTTCCAGTGCTGGACAACTGGTTCTGTGAAGACATTTTTCCCAATATCCAATCTAAACCTCCCCTAGTGCAACTTGAGGCCGTTTCCTCCTAATCCTGTATCACTAGTTACTTAGGAGAAGACACCAGCCCCTTCCTGGCTCCATCCTCCTGTTAGGCAGTTGTAGGGAGCAATAAGGTCCCCCCTGAGCCTTCTCTTCTCCAGACTGAACTCCCCACGTCCCTCAGCCATTCACCATCACATCTGTGCTCAGGCCCTGCACCAGCTCCATTCCTTTCTCTGGCCCCACTCCAGCACCTCTATGTCTCTCTTGTAGTGAGGGGGCCAGAGCTGAACACACGATTCGAGGTGCGGCCTCACCAGTGCCAAGCACAGGGGAACACTCCCTGTCCACATCTTGCTGGCACAAGCTCGGATATGAGACTGCTGGCTCCGTGATGTATTTTCCAGCAATCAAGTCCATGTAAACATTTATCTGTGTAACAGATAGTGGCTGCTATCTCTTGGAACTCTAATACTGTCCTGCTGGCTTCCACAAATCCCATTGTATTTTTACCATTGACACCCTGCCAGCAAACCAAATGCATTTGTAGCTCAAGCCTTTTCATTCACAAAGGTCTGTCCTGTCCTTACCAGCACTGTAACAGTAACGATGCCACAACCTATTGAAAATAAAACTATTTACAGGGAGGCCTTCCACATCATTGACAGTGTAAGGACCTTACCATCTGTATATTTAAAATAAGCATTTCTCTTTAAACTCACATATTAATTTTGCCTTTGGCGTTACTTCTTTGACTCAATGCCCACATCTAAACTGATGTAACACAGGATGGGTCAATTTTTCACCTCCAACTGTTCTGAATGCTGCTTTGTAATATTTAATTAAGGAAACACAGAATGGTTTGGGTTGGAAAGGACCTTAAGATCATCCAGTTTCAACCCCCTGCCACGCGCAGGGATGCCTCACACTAGACCATGCTGCCCAAGGCTCTCCCCAGCCTGGCCTTGAACACTGTCAGGGATGGAGCATTCACCACTCCTCTGGGCAACCCCCCATAATGGGAAAGTAGCTGCAACTTTACTTAAGGAGTAACCACTGCTCCCACATTTCTAAGTATAGGAAAGGTAATCAGGACAGTAGTACACCTAGTTCCAAGCGGTGTTCCCTCTACGATCAGTGTTTTTCATTATACTCACGCCATAACTTGTTGATACAGAAAGTTGCACTTAAGTGCTATTTTGAAACACCAGTGTCTATATTCTTAACATGTAAGTCAGAATATGCTTATTCTTCCCAATGTCACCAATTTTATCACCCAAAATTCTCTGGCTCTTGCTAATGCCAGTTAGATCCATGGATTTTAAAACACCTCAGAAGCACGTTTGACTGCCAGTCATTTCCTTCAATTTTTTTCATTCCTCCTTTAAAATGGTGACCACATGAACATATTTTTTATCTACTGTTTTGTCCTTCCTGTTGCTCCCTGAAGCTAAAACCTTGTCTTATGCTCTGCTTCCTTTAGAACTCATCACATTACAAATTCTGTGCAGCCTTAGAGTTGACAAATCCTTACTGAGCACATTATTAACGGTGAATACCAATTATCACGTTTTTGATGAACTCCTGTTTAGTAGTATATAAGTATCTAGCCCCCAATTATTTTTTCTCTACCTCATAAGGTAATTTTAAAAATCAGATTAAACTAACTAGTCATCAGTTCTGAGTCCTAGCAAACGAATGCCTGAGAAAATAGCTTGGAGATAAAACTGGCTTCATAACAAAGGAAAGAGAGCAGAAACGTACATATGCAGAGACTTCTGGGCCTTGGCTGCTTCCTCCTTGGAACTGTAGCGGACCACAGCATTCCCTTGTGTCAGGTTCAAGTGGAATGTTATCAGAGGGCCATGTTGCAAGCACAGTGTCCGCAGTGTGGAGCCATCAATCTGGTAAGAGGGAAGGGAGAGGAAAGGTTATCTGTATTTTTGTGATCTTACTTTTAATGCTTTTTAACTAAACAAATTTTAAACTCTGAAGAGTAAGTACAGGTAAAAGGAAAGTTTTTCTTCCATAAGACGAATTTCATTACAGACTTATCACTGTTTTCAGTGAGTGAGACATCCTGTCTTTTTAAGGCTTCCCTACAGGCCAGTGCACAGAATTTCCCAATTTAGGTTATACAAATTGTATTTATCATTAAAAATCCACATAAGTCCAAAAGTCAAAGGAAAAACACATTGTTCATAAATACAACTAAATTTCCCCCAAGATTAATTTGGATGTCTACATTCAAGGCTTTGTGGCTTATGTTTTTCTTTGTGAATGACACCATGTGGAGGACTGGAGGATTTGACAGACTTAGGAGAACCACCAAAGCAAAACCCATAGGAAAAGCAGATTTTACATCTATCTGCTGTAAAACAATCATTCACTTCCAAGCTCACACATAAAAGCTGCACACTGAATGAACAAATAATTAGGGTCTTAAAAGTTCATACTTGATTTGACAGCACTTTCAAAACTTAAATTCCTTGTAGAAGATAGACATAATAAATGCAGAATGATTATTTTCCCTTCAAAGGAACCACATGAGCAGGAATGATAAATGTTCTTATCGTCTCTTAAATGTGACAAGTCCCTTTTCAGAACTAGCTGTGGACAATTCTCTTTACCTGGGGTGTGAGGTTACGAAGAACCAGCCAGCTGCTTGTTCTCCCTGAGCTGTCAGTACTCCATGCAGAACCTACAACACGAAGGCCACAACAAAACATATTATCATGCTGCAGGAAGCATATTACTAGAAGAAAGTTTCTTCACATCTTGATTTAATGTCATCTTTGCTGAATGAAAACCTGCTTTTGTTATAGGTACAAGATCTGTGGCATTTTCACACTCCCATAGTAACTATCGGGTGCAGGTATGACACTGCAACAAACTGTACCTTCAGGTTAAATAGGAATTAATATGGAAGACACATTTTAAAAGCAATTCAGACGTCCAAACTCAGACTGCTGCTTGCTATTAAAGACTTTTATAGCACTGCAGCCTTCTGCTATCTTGCCAATGATAGATTAATGCATATGACTTATTCAAAACAGATATTTCTGCACTGACAATGATTAAAGATACAAGGATGTAACCAACAAAACCTGCTTTTCCAACTTCAGCCTGGTGTTTTACAATGAGGAACTGAACAAGCTGCATACACATGAGTGGTGTTTGAGAAACCACAGTGCATCTGTAGTCACATGTGTGACCACACTCAGGCTCCAGAGAAAATCCTGGAATCAGCAATATCTACCCACCAGGTGGGGTTTTGGCACAGAAAACAGATACAAATAAACAGCAAAAAGAGGGACATTTAATTCCCAACTTAGTGAAAGCAGATTAATAAAACAGTCAGCTGTATGAAATAAGCGTAATATACTTGTGTTTGAAGCTGACTACTTCACATGATACATATACCAGATCCATGGTTTCTAATATTTATATTTAAGCAAAACAACAACATCTAAACAAGAAGCCTGCATGGAAAAAGTTAAGACATTCCCTGAGGCCCCTGCAATGCCATGAGGTCCTAAATGCTTCACATCCATGCTCCAGAAATGTGTTCCATATTAAATTCTATGGGCTGATTCGCTCATCTTGAAGCCTTGTAAGCAGTCATAGATCATACCACAAACAAGACACATGTTTAGAAGATATTTTTAGAGATTCAGGAAATGGGGAAATAAAATACCTTTGTTGGAGTTAAATAATTTGGCAGTGACTACGTAAAATTACTAATACGACCACCTCAAAGGTGAGAGCTTCACTTACAGTTTACCCTAACTAAAATATATGGACACAAGCTTCAACCCCTAAACAGACACACTCTACTTGCATCAGACCTCAAGTTTCTGGAGCCTAATACACAGCCTCACTATAGCAACACAGAATAAAAGCAAACAGTTCTAAGAAGACACTGTAGTGTGCTAAAACACAGGAGTCAGGCGCACCCGAGGAGTAAGAGCTGGTCCAGCCCAGGGGACTGGCACCCCACGTCGATGATGGCTTGGTATTTGTTAAGCCCGGAGGTGGTCTTGTAGGAGCAGTAGTGTTTCTGGGTACCTTCCATAGTTCATGGGATAGAGAGGCTTGTGTGTGAGAGATTGGGCCAGAGGACCATGTCGACTTGATGTCTGACAATTTACCTGCAATAGAAAGAAAAAATAAAGTTCCCTTTTGAAAATCTACTAGTTTCATTTGTCATAAAAGATAATACAAGAAAAAAGACCAGAAAATGGACTTAAGTATTTAAAATCTAATTTAAATCATAATGAAATACTTGAAGATTGTCTCTCTCAAAGGGTTAATAGATCTTAACCACTTTTTCTTACACAACTCATTTCCTCTGATAGGAAGTAACCAGTATATGTTCTTCTGATTTATTACTAAAATTCCAAAGATCAAAGGCCAACCAAACCTGGATTTCTGAACAGGCAAAGTAACAGATATTCTTTTTCTTTAGAGTCTGCAAAAGATGAAGTCTTCAGAAGACTGGACCATATCACAACCTGTCACTGAAACTTTTCACTGCTGAGTTTGTTACCTTGTATCTTACTACTGTTTCTGCCAAATCAGTTTTATAAAATAACCCACGAATAACAAATACAGTTTAGCATTCAGAACGGCAGACAAAATTGGTTCAAATTCTGCATACCAAACTAAACCCCTTTATTAAACTTTAAACTTAAACATCCCTGCCTTTCTTCCTGGTACCAACATACGTGAAATTTGAGTCCCATTTCCTTCTCACAGCACAGCCCCATACTGCTAACTAACATTAGCAGCTCAGGGAATGGACTGAAATGGTCACATCACTGCATCTTCTGCCAGAGCAAATGACATTGTGGTTATGCTGCCTTAATGCTTTAACGCTGATTGCAGGCAGGGAAAATATACTTGGTCTGACAAAGTCTGAGATGCCAAAACCTTGTGGATTTTTTTAAACCCAGGTTTGAATTGGCAGATGAAGCTTATACTGAATCAGCACCTTGCATCAGGCAGCCACTGAGGTTTTATCAGTCCTAGAGCCAAATTTACCAGTCACCAAATCACAGCCTCAGTTCTATACACACACACACACTCTCCCCACATTGTCTCAGTTTATCTGAATCATCTAACTCAATGATTTTGTACTGAATCATAACAATTTGAGTGAAAGGGCAACCACTCTCCCATCTTCTTGCACACTGCAGCAGCAAAAATAATTTGACAATGATGATGAAAGCTTTAAACATGGGTAAAATGGTGAGGAAAAAGGGTAAAAAAGCCTGAGTGTTAGAACTCAGAGCAGCTCAGCACATGACTCATGCACATTACCACAGATTAGATGTTGCTATGTCACTACTTCTCATGGGGTTAACACAAAGATTAGGTGACACTGCAAAACAATAACAAGCAAATAAAGCAGAAATGCATGGCAGATAAAAGGAAAGCAAGCCATTCCTTTCTTTTCCTTTCACTGGAGTAAAACATTTCACATAACCCCTTTTGGTTTTCCATTCTGCAGTATGACCTGGAGGTTGCACCTTCCTTTATTCAAAGAAAGAGCTTTCATTGATTAGATATGAAAATGTTAATACTACCCATACAACAGCCCCAACACATTTTTATAATGGGACAAACTGGATATTTAGGTAGCTACTTCACAAGCAATGTCTTTGTGATTTGCAGACAGAGATGCTCCAGAATGTAAAGCTCATTAAAATGAATGGGGTGATTTATTTAGACCATCTATAAGCTCAGCCATGTAGGGGAGCCTCAGGCTTCTGGTTGACTATTAAAAGACATTTAAGAGTCCCAAATCCAACCCCTTCAGAGCCATGCAGAGTCCCTCCTTGAGGGTTGGTACTAAACCTTTTCCTGAGCTGAAAACGGTTCACTTTTAACAATGAGTTTATTAACAAAAAATTCACATCAGATCTTCCTGGAAGGGTTTAGCAGCGGTGTTTCCACTGAGGCCCTAGACAATATTCCTCCTCAAAGCTGCAATGGAAACAGTCATTAAGAGATCTCAATGCCAATACAGACTGATAGCATGTGGCACCAGTGGAATAAATACATTTTTCCTTAGCACAATTCCAGGCATACCATCCAACGCTCACCACTCAAGAGGTGTCAGGAAAGCTGCCTACTACCTAGCACAATACTGAAAAACAGGCTTCTGTCTATAGTAACACTACTGTAATAACTAGGAAAGTACTTTCTAGGGCCTTTTCTCAGAATGCAGAAGGATGTGAAAGTAGAAAGGCCATTTTTCGTACCTGCAATGCTAGGTGCAGATGCAATGCTGCTGAAAGAGCTACTGTAGCCGGAGGCACTAAGCGGCCAGGCACTCGATGAAGGCAGCGTGGCATTCTGAGATGATGTTGGGGATGACCCTGCAGAACCAGCAGAGAATCAACTAAGAAAGATGGGCATAATGATGTTTGGTGTGACATAAGCAAATCTATTATGTGCAGATACAAACCATGCAAGGCATTTTCCTTAATCAGCCTGGTCTCAGAAGTCTAGGAATGAAATGTTATAGAAAGCATGATAAAGGGAAGCAGAAGTCTTTAGTAGAGAAGAAAAGAAAGCTGGCACAGTAGCAAATGTGCTAGCACCTGTGCAAAAGATAAACTCCGCATTTCCTTTACGATACATGACTCAAAAAAATCGGTGTTGAACTGTTTGGTCTCAAAGAACAGGCTTCATTTATTAAGGTGCTCTGCTGGCTGACTTAAGCAATGACAACTGCAGATGAGCATATGCATATGATAAACTAACCTCTTACCACGGGTGATTTGTCCTATGTTGCTCAAGGTAAGCACTTTTCCTACACCCTCATGCCCACAAACATCTTCAGATTTTTGCAGACTTTCCGTAAAGTAAGGATGTATTTTAGCAATCTCTTCTCAAACCGATAACATTAAATGAAATAGCCTGAAACCATCTTGGTAAATCATTTACAATCTGAGGAGCTATCTAAGCATACATACAATTTCCTTAGTGGCAAGCAAATGAAAGAAATTGAACATAAAATATGTTCATTATAAATACCCGAAGAGCTGGAAGTATTCTCTCTAGCCACCAACAAAATTGTGTATCCTAGGTGACTTATCATTCCTGACATACATAGATGGACCGCGATACAGAAGCATCTTTAACTGACTAATAAAAATACGTGAGTTCTTTGGAAAAGAGCTCTGTACTGAGGTAGAAGGGACTAAGTAAAAGCGCAATCTCATCCCTCGCAACTCAATAAAAAACACAGGCTATAATATCCAACTGGAACAGCAATCAACCAATCTACCTTATCTAGACACACTGTACTACAAAGGACACCAAAACAGACATCAGTCTCTAGCAAAACAACTCTAGATCAAGGCTTTCTCTGGACATAATCTATGCCCTAGACAGGAGTGAGGAAATTTTATCAGACTGAAAGGCCCATATGCCCAGAGAGCTGAAACCATTCCTTATTCCAGGTGGCTAAGGCTGGCTGACCCTGCAAAGCTTCCTCAGCAAACAGGGTGAAATTAAAATCAGCCAAAAAGCTTAGGTTTTGTCTCTTTCTCTGTGTGCAGTGCAAGGAAGGTATACATCACAGTCTGGCCCTCTAACTGAAGACCTTCTCTGTTAATACAGCCTGCGTACTTTGAGCTGCAGTATTCAAAGACAGCCTCTTCCTGGCAGCATGTCATTAAAGCCTCAAGCTCATATGGAGGCGTACAGACAATAGCAGACAAATTTACCTAGGAGCAAACACCTCACTTATATAAGCGTAAAGAAACAGATTTAGCAGCTACATTTTTAATTAAAATTATATCATTAGTAAGCTAAAAAGCTAATGAGGAAAGGAAGCATACATGGACCACAACAGTCACTGCCTCTCAGAAGGTTCTGGCTCTTGAGGACCTGTTTGCTTCTGCAAAGCTTATCTTTACTAACTCTAAGAAGGGTGATTATCTCTTCATTCCACAGACAAAATTACACACTAGGAGAACTAATGTGCACTTGCCTTCTATAAAGCGGAAGACCTGCAGTAGGCAGCATCTAACTACAGCTCTGTAGGGCTAGGCTTCTGGCCTAATGGGAGTGTATCTTGGGTGTACCATACCTGAATTGTCTTTTTTAGAATTTCAAACAATCCAGGTTGCCTACCCCTCACAGTACATTTGGGTCATTAAAAGTTAATTCAACATTAGTCATGCACACAAATACTTCACGTTTCAGCTTAAATAAAGATTGTTTTCAGGTTAGAGACAACTAATTCAAGCCAATGAAAACCCCTGCCTCCTTTCCCTCACAGTTCACATGCCTTTGCCTGAGTTAACAAGCCCAGAGCAAGGACAGCTCTGATTTACAATCTACACAGCTATCACAGATGTAACTATTAGAACAAACCCCGTGTTTTTAATCCTGACGGGTCCTTCCTGCCAACCTGATTATATTACCCCTATGCATATCAGAGTGCTCTAACAGACAGTAGATAACTTCCCTATATTGGAACACTGAGCACAATTAAACCAAGCCACCTTTCCCTTGATCCAGCTGCAATGCATCTAGTTAACTAGCAGTACAGTCCCAACGGCTTACTGTTCTAGAGAATACTCTACCCAGACAAAAGGAATGGGAATGGCACTGGGAATACTAGTTGACTAGCCCATTCCCTTTTGTCTTTGATGGTTCTGGGGATAAACGAGCTCTAACTGATTTTTGCTGACTGATCTTCTAACAAAGCTACAAGTTAAGTAGTGTGATAGAAGCCTGCTGCTTCAGGAACAACTCTGGAACTTTTGTGTTGTGTCTTCTGAGTATTTCACAAAGTGTGTGCAGGAGGGTGGTCAGGAGGGAGAGTAAAATCTTGTTCAAAACAAAGTGTTACAGGTTACACAGAAGTTTGTATTACATCTCATACGCTTTTCCAATATAAAAATATTTCCCACGGAAAACCAGAAATCTTTTAGTCCCATATTTAAATCAAGTATTTCTGATTTTCAGTGAAAGTTCAGAGCAGAAGCATTAGGATTACATGCAAAAATTTACTATATCCATAATACATGAAGTCATCTTTTTTGGAAAGAATAAAGTATACACATGTGGTTTGTGTGTTTACCTCCACTCTTGAGAAGATAGCGATTAACATCCTGTATCGTGGTGTTTATGGTAGGCCCAGTTGGAACACTTCCAGGAGTAACATCAGGGTCATTTTCAGGATCAATATTCTGCAGTCCTTTCCATGGCACTCCTGGATGAAACTCTGTTACAAATATAATAAAAAGAAGAGTATATAAAGTCACAATTCTCCAAAGTTCCTGTGTAGCAGAAGGCATAAAGATTCAATAAAATAACCCCATGTTTTAGGGACACGAACACTTTAAATGTTCTTACCTGGTGGCCAGTTTATGCTGGAGCCATTGGAAATTTTATCACTATCAGTTTTGGCACGTGACCAGCTGTGAGGAACAGCTACGGGCGGACTGGCGGGTGATTCACTGTTCTGCATCAGATCATACCGGCTGTAAGAGTCATCGATGGACGACTTTCCCGGAGGACCAATACTCAAACCTCCAGGTATAGCACCTGTAAGGAATAAAATGCAAAGGCTTTGCTTAGGAGTGGCACTAATTTTGGGTATGGAATTTCATCAGTCCCTAGTTTGTTATTTTCTTTTTTTTTTTTTCTTTCTGTATTACAAAGGTGGAGAAGAAAATTAACATGTAGACACAGTAAGCAAGGCTTAACAGCCTCTGAAGCCTTCCTAGGAATGAGAGCTCTGAGATACACCACTGGTACAATCTAGACATTCAAGCTAAAGGAATGTGCCTTACATTACGGCCAAAAAGAGACAAAGTAATTCAAATTGTTACACTGACAGTAAACAGGAATTTGCTGAGACAGCATACTAAGGAATATCCCTGTAAGCAAGCCATCTCCTCTAGCTGTTCATTGCTGATGGGCTGGATGATCTGAAATGCCATTCTCATGTCCTACAAACTAGCAAACAACAATTTGGCATAACCATCACAGCTACTTGCAGAATAAACTATTGTAAAAGAAATCATGCATGCTTCTCATAATAAAATCCAGGATACAATAAAGTTAACAGCACCATGTTCTAACAGAATAAACTTGGTGCAGGAAATAAAAGAATACTGAATACTCAGGATACTGGAGGTGTTAGGGATAAAAGGGTTCAAACAGATTAGCAAGCACTTCTGGAAAAATGTGAAGTTTGTGCTCCTAATTCCCAGGGTGAGTAATTATGTACTTGTTTTGCCAACAGTAGTGGCTTGTTTTACTTGAACTCCTTGTTCTAAGCAAGGAAATTCAGCAAATGGAAAGAACATTCCTACACTGCATGTAGGAAGTGATAGCTGCAAGCACTTAGATGCACACTGAATGTGACTGCAGAAATAATTGTACCAAGTACCCCAGTCTCAAAGGGCACTTTGTACCAACCACTTATGAGGACTTACTACAAACAGTAACTTGAGAATACAAAAATGCCATTGCAATATGTGTCAAGCCAGGCTGACACTGAGATTAAATGTACCATACCGTGCTTGCTGGAGTTCTGGTCAAGCGAAGAAGCAGCACTAGACAGATTATCCATTGAGTTGGGGTGTGTCCACTGAGGAAGGCGAGACTGGGACTGAGAAGTGTCCTTCACTGACAAACCACCAGTAATGTCCATGTTATTTACATTCATGTTCGGGTTCAGTCCAGCTAAAGGGAAATAGGTCATTAGATATCCAGAATAGACTGGGGGAATAGAAGATGTGTTTAAAAACCCAGCTAAAGGAGTTATGAAACACTGACTTTCAGTACATCTGTCCATGTGTACAGTAAATTACTACGCTGATTTGCAACTGCTGTCAAGAACTTTTGCTTTTATGGGAACACCAATATAACTCCCATGCATTCAGAGAACGTTAAAACTTTGCTAACAGTGGGAACAAAAGAAAAGATGTAGGGATACTATTTTGAAGCTGTCAGTATTTCTACTTGCAGTCTCTTCACTTGCCTCCAAAAAGGCCTTATGGAAGAATGAACTGGCACGCTACGTTTAAACCAGTGAGGAATCTGCGGCATTACACTGCTAAACCAAAATGCTCCTGAAGTCTCACCAGTGCAGGCCCATGATGTCTGCAATTTCATTTTGCTAACAACACTGTACAAATTCCAAAGAAAGCAACTAATTAAAGGTTTATACAAACAGCTGCCATCCATTTGAGCAGGTATTGCAGTATTTGGGCAACATATATATATATGTATTTTATATACACAGAACAAAATCACTCGGGACTGTGCTTAGGGAACAACTGTGACATGGTTCTGTGACACGAATCAGGGTCCTTTTTGATATATAATCCTGCATGTTAGCAGATGACAGGAAGCTGAGGTATGATTAAGAAGTTCCCTCTTAAATTCTTTTGCCTTCTGATGCTCTCTCCTCTAACAGCTCACCACAGCAGTCAGAATTACCTTTTAAAGTGCTGCATGGTAGACACAGCTTGGCAATTTTATCGTACACAACATAAAGATCACAAAGAGATTAAATTAATTCCTTCATGTCATTAAGGAGGTAGCATACAAGAACCACACAGGAAACAGGTCTGAAAGGTTGTTTTGTTCATGCTGTCTCAAGGCTGAATTGATTATTTTGGCATCAATCATATCTGACAGATCTGTGTCCAGACTACCACAGACTGACCAGTGAGAAACATTTCAGAACTTCCCAGGTCATTTATTCCAGTAATCTTCTTTGCTTGGAGCAAATCAGTGATCCTTAATGTTTAACTAGATCTCCTTTTACGCAACAGAAGTTTATTACCTCTCGAATTACCCACATGTAAGAAAACTCTTCATAGGTATCTTTTACATTTTGAAGACGCCTGCATGTCTCTGAAGTCTACTCTTCAGGCTAAAGTGAGCAAAGGATTTCCCTTTTTTCCTCAGCAGTCATGGTTTTGAAATATCTCATCATTTGCACAACACTCACTCTGCATTCCTTCAAACTGAGCCATATCCTTCTTGAAATAACACTGATCAAAACTGATGCCTTACCAGTGCTGATTAGAGTGGAAAGCTGACTTTGCATGACTTCCAGATGATGCTCCTATTTATCAATACATTTGTGTGTTTTACAACATGACACCGTTAATTTATATTTAGTTCATAAACAGCAATGTAGGTAGGTACTTAATTAAGCACATCTTCTGCTCTGATATTTGTAGGCAGAGTACAGGTAAGCAAATACAGCCCTTCTGAGCAGCTGCTACCAAATAGGTGTGTAGCACCATGATTTTGTTTTGGCATTTCAACACTGTTTAATAAACATATCATTCTATTTCTGTGTTTGTTACACAGTGGAGCAAAATATTTAGATGCTGAATTAAGGAAATATCCTCCCTCTGTCTTTTTCATATGGAACTGCTTTAAAGAAGGACACTTACCAAGAGGGTAAGGAGCAAAGGTGTTCGGTGAAGACTGTTGCTCTTTGGTCTGCAGGTCAGGTAGGCTGGGAGCCTGGGGATGGGGTGAAAAGCTATCCATGGCTGATTTGCCTGCAGAGGGGTGCAAAGATAGATGTGGAGGGGGAGGCTGCTGCTTCATAAGCAGGGCCTGGGCCAGCTGGCGCTGGTGCTGCTGGATCTGCTGCTGCATGTTATTGATTGTACGTGCAACCTGGCAAGGAAAAGAATCAATAAATGCTCAGTTGAACAAAAAGACACTAGATTTTTTGTGTCTGAAACTACAGTGAAATAACACAATAGATCTCTTTACAAATAAAAATTGACCATATTAAGAGTTGAAGAGCTTTCCTCCAATAACTGAATGCTGTAAAATAGCTTCATTGCTCTAGCACCCCTTCCTTTCAATACTCAAGCTATGCACTTATTGCTTCTAAGGGTGCTATAGCTGCTTTGCTATAAGCAGTACAATCTCTTTAAGCTACTGAAGACAAACTCTTGCAGAGAGATTGAACTGGCAGGCAAACCTACTTGCTGCTCCTGTTGTCTCATGGGTCCGGAAACGTTACGCTGAGCCTGTAACATCTGCTGCTGGATTTGTAAACGTTGGTATGCCTAAGAGACAGAAGTGAGAGGTCAGAGGTCCTAACACACATACACAAAGCCAAACAAGCTTGTCTGAACTACTCTCACACATTATAAAACAGAAAAGACAGAAACACTGTGAGTTTTCTGAAAACACCCAAGGAAGCAAAAGTAACAATCTTATTACAATTGTATTTTAAAACACATTTCAGCTTAGAGTTTGTTTTCTGCTTGCCTTCTCTCATTAAACCAAAAACATCAATAAGAAACCTGATGAGTAAGCTTGTGAGCAGTAAGAGGTCATTAAAGATAGAAGCCTACTTTTTTCTCCTAAAAAACTGCAACACAAAGCAAAAATTAAAATAGAAGTTTATAATATCTTATAGATAAACACCAATAGTTAGTTCTCTTATTGGACATTTTGAGTTCTGACAACAGTTGGTATTTAATCAGGGTCATGGGGTGGAAAATTTCTTTTCCAAGGTGTTTCTTTGAAAAACGTGCTTTTAAAATCCAAAAGAGTTCTGTACAGATATTTTTCAAGTAGCTGGGTACTGCTCTATTGTTACCATGGCATGAAATCTAAGCTGTGCTCCTCAAAACTAGGAAACATAACCAGAAATGATTAACAGTATCAAACAATGTTACTAATAAAGCATTTGGGCTAGCACATTAAGATCAGCACCTAAGCTAGTTTGTCATCCTCAATGACAAATGATTTCCCAGGTTTATACCTAGGAAATACTTAGTGTTAGCAGTACAGCTTTTTAAAATAGCCTTAAAATCCAATTAAATATCTTCAGACATCATGTAAAATTTGCCAATGCAATGAAGTACACAGCTCTCCAAAACCAAGTAGCTCTCATCGCATGCTGTGTTTGATATAAATGCCATTAATTACAGAAAGTTTACCCTACATTTTATTATTTCTTGAGACTGCTGAAGGAATTTCTCCAGGTAACTCAGGAGACTGGCACTGCTGAGATTTCTCTTGTTATGTTGTGACACAAATCTCCCACTTGGTCAATCATCGCGTACATTGGCATGTAGAGAGTAGTGAGGTTTGAGAATATACTATGGTACTGACATCAGTACAAAGACAACTGACTGTTTAGTTCAACTGATCAGCTGTAAAGGATAATCATTCCAGAAATGACTATTTATAAAGCCTGAGGCAAAAACCATGATTCTTTTTCTTTAAAAAGAAACTTTACCAAAGACATCAGCATCTGATTGCTTTAAAGATCTGTCACATGCACTTAAAATTTAGTTAGACATTCTCTTATTTTATATCCCTGCCTTCAAAGTCTGTTTTAGACCTTATTTGCCATGTCCTTTCACTTACCAGCTGCAGCTGATAGAGCTGGTTCAACATCGTCATATGCTGAGGATTATTAATTGGCGAGGTTAACTGTGCAGGGCTGAGACCAATGTTTTTTGCTGCAAACTGCAAAAGCTGTGCTTGAACCTAAGAAAGAAAAGTGTATTAAACATTGTACATTTACTTCTAACACTGGCAACTGTGTAAGCCATTAATAAGAGTCACAAGATATCAGCTGGAAAATACTATTAGCAGTAGTACCATGAACAGAAGTACCATGAAGAGGCTCTACTACAAATCTTAATAACCATACTTAAATGTCCATTTATAGAAAAAGTGCTTCCCAGCCCTCTTGAAACATTACTTTTTTTCCAAAAAAGAATGTGCCCACACAGACAACCTACAGAACATATATGAGACCATCTTACCAATGTAACTTGCTTACTGCCTAGTAAATAAGTCAACAGAGATACAGCCAGGCAAGAGCAGCTGCAAAGCCTCAGGAGCATGACAGAATGCGTATGGAAAGGAGAGCGCATATGGAAGAGTTCCAGGGAAAGGGAAAACTCAAGAGTGAAAGTATTGTCTAACCTGAGGGGATAGAAACTGAGGCACTTGAGCACGAAGACTAGGCTGGGATGAATTAAGAGGTTGCACTGGCGGTTGCTGCGGCTGTTGCATGGTCCTGGCTTGTGCTGCTCCGCTATTGCCAAACATACCCAGATTGCCACTCGGTATCTACAGCAGGACAAGACAGACATTGGCATTTAAAGACATCACTTAACACATAACCTGGAAGTTACTTATTCCTTCAGTGATTATGACCAGCACAGATAAAGAAACCAGCACCTCCAGAGTGTACTGACCATCAGGTTTAGAATCAGGCATGGCAAAGACCACAACATCCCAAACCTCCAAAACATTGTATAGATGCCTGAACATAAGAGATAGCTGAGGCTGAAGATCGCTTTTATAACGATGCATAACCCCAGAGGGTCAGAAGATGGAACACTGAAAAGTACACGCCAAAAATGTTTGTATTTATGCAGGAAGAGCCAGGAGAATGAAGTCATTAAACTCGCAGCATCCCAGTCTTTAGCTAGGCAGTTTTTATACTTAGTCGTTTTACCAGCCTACTGATAATGGACATGCTATTAGTGCAGTCTCTGCTTCTGAAAGATACGGTTAACGGGCTGTAAGTGCTTGACAACCACTGGCTTTAGAAAACTAACTTTGAAAGAATATACGTAAGAAAAGCCACCACAGAATGACAGAGTTCTTCTGTGTTTCTATATCTTAACTTTGCTGGAACTTCAACTTATATGGAAAAAAAACCCCTCTTCATAATCAGCAGTAGTTTATGGACTCTCACTCTTGTGGCATTTATCCATCTTCCTCTCCATCTTCTTTCCTCCTTTTCTTTTGGTTTCGGCATAGAGAGGTGGGTATCATGTCTCTTCTCCCACATAACAAGCAACAGGACATGAGCAAATGGCCTGAAGCTGTGTCAGGGGAGGTTTAAACAGACTATCAGGAAAAACGGCTTCACCAAAAGGGCTGGCCAGCATTGAAAGCCCAGGGCAGTGGTGGAGTCACCATCCCTAGAGGGATTTAAAAGATATGTGGATGTGTCCCTGAGAGACATGGGTTAGTGGTGCACTTGGCAGTGCTGGGTTAACAGACTTGATGATCTTAAAGATCTTTTCCAACCTAAAGGATCCTATGCTCGACCCAGGGGCCAAAACACTCCTCTTGATTTGACCAGAGATGCTAGAAGCACAGTTCCTTTCTTACCTGTCAAAGCTATGAGCTGTCTTGCCACTACAGCAGGAATAAAAATGCCTCCATCACCTCTTACCCATCTCATCACTGAGTAATTATGCCAGCCAGGAAAGATAAATTAGAGCAATGTCTCTGCCTTAAATTCTGTGACCATTAGCAACGCCTCAAAACATGAAACCTCACATCAATCAAGGCAGAGCTATACGAGGGGTAATGGTATAAATCCATAATACTAGTGTCTCTTCTCAACGGATGCATATAATTAGCAAGCTAATTACTACTAAGCAGTTGTTTTAATGTCCTATAACATGAAGTGTTTACACAGCAGGGAAGTTTTTCCATTGCTACTTCCTGTGAACAAAGATGTTGCACCCACTTTCGGTGATGGGCACTAGCTGCGAGTCCAAGAGAGCTAAAATTGAACTTGGAATCTCCCCCGACAGCCTTACCTGTCTAGAAGAATTCAAGTTTTGCATGCCCAGCCCTGAGGCAATCCCGCCCAGGGTCTGATTAGGGAGTGCACTGTTTGAAAGGGGGAGCTTCAGGCTTGGTGAAGGCAAAAATGGTGAAGTAGTGGGCTCTTCCACTAGGCCGCCATCCTGATTGGAGAAAGAAAGGGTGAGCTGTGTGCGGTGCCCAGGAGCAGGCAGCACAAACAGTGTCCCATGGGAATAGAGAAGAGCATGGGATGGATAAAAATATTAAATAATAATAATAAAAAATAAGGGTATGAGTAACAGGGAATGAAAGTATGAAGTGAAGGGAGAAAAAAAGAGAGAAACTGGATTAAGGTACTGCTTTTCTTTGATTTGTTGCACTTATTTCACAAATGCACAACCACCCTCACCCACTTCTCCAGAAGGAAAGGAGGAATTTATTCTAGCAGAGCTAATATGTGGCCATCATCTCCTCCCCCTTAGACTTTCTCCTCTCCTCTCCACCAGGCTGAAAGGTGGAAAAGGAAGCGACCCAGCACATTACAGGGAAGCCTGTTTGGTGAACTCAGCAGCGGAGCATAGGACATACTGCTTTTGCTAACCCAGAACATGGGAAAGGCCAGATCAGCTGATACGACACCAGTGTGTATTTGGTTCCACATCATAGCTCTGCTCTTTAAAAAAAGCATTTTTGTTTTAATCTCCTTTCCTAACGGAGCCACGTGAGACTTTTTTAATATTCACACAGCACTGAGTTATTATTAGCCACTATGAAACATTACACTCTAACACAGCCAATGAACAAAAATACTTAAACCCAATAATGATAAAGCTGTCTGTGTGGCCTTCCTGGGAAAGCAATTAAGACCCTGCCTTAGTGTCCCCCAGGAGGAGGCAGATTTTAGCAAGACATAAGGAGTCCCCTCTGATAACTGGGTTGCAAGGAACCATGGCTGAACATGGATATGAGGCACAGAAGGCAGTGCCCATGGGGGGCAAACAGCAAGTCAGAAAAAAACCCCATATAATCCTCAATCAAACAGGTAGATATCTAGCTAGTAATACAGTGGGGTACCGAGTTCTATCTCAAACTGTGCTTTGATGTCTGGGAAGCCTGCGGCAAGTATGATCAAATAACACTGTGTACAAAGTAGAGCTCCAAAAACAGGCAGAGTGAAAAATCTTTAATTTGCAATGTGCTGGACTGGTGGTTTTCAGACAATATATTCACTGCAAAAAAAAGAGTTTTAAATAGGTGAGAAGCTAGGTTCTTTCAACCAATAAATTCAATGCCCCAGAAGATTGTGAGATACTGATAAACCTCCTCTGTTACAAAAGCAGTCCAGTCCGCAAAACAGCGACCCAAATGAATGAGCTAATGCAGCAAGCACACTTGGTAAATTTTATGTTCCAAGCTAATCCTGAAAAATGCATTTTCAACAGCTCCCCTTTGATGCAAAGCAAAAGTTTCTTACTATGAGGCAAAGTGACACTTGACATGCTATCTGACTATCCTGAGGGGGACACTGACATTTTCTAATGATATCCCCAAGGCCTCGCAGCTCAAGATATTTTACATTCTACTGGACATCAGTCACACTCCACAAACAACTGCAGCCTGCATGACAGGAACAGGTTCAAGGATTTCTCCTTAGATCACAGACATATGTTTACAATTCTACCCTTCCCCCTTTAAAGTGAAAATCGTTTCAAGCTCCATGCGCGATCTTGCCTTCAGATGCCATTGCTTCCTATGTGAATAGGACTATTGACCATGAAAGACCAATGTGATTCCTCCCAGCCCCCCAGATTTATTCAAGTCTTGTCTCATTCCCATTATTTGGTTTCATTTTGGACATAAGCAGTGCCAGGGATGGTGGAGGACAAGCCACACTGGAGACCTGGGTGTTTAATATCCAGAACAAGCAGACTGTTGCTGCACGCCCACCTTCACAAGTGTGTTCCTTGGCTGAACTGCAGCAAATGTCTTCTGTAGCAACTTTATAACAATTATTCACATTCATTTTGTTCTATTTTTTGTAATTTGAGCTTGTCATAATGTGCCCACTGTGATGCACAAAGCTGTGCTCTGTAAGTGGATCTGAAATCAATTCATTTAACGTAAAGCATTTTAGTTGGTCAACATCAAGTACTCCTCAGTCATTCTCATCCTAGATGAGATGACACTGTACTCCTGACAACAGTTTGTGATCCATTATTTTCCAGTCTCCTTTATGTAATAATTGTTTCCTGAAGAGTAATCTTTCCTACCTAACCTTTCCTCTTCAGTGGTTTTCTTACCGGTTTATGTTACAGTTCTCCCACAGGCTAATCAATTAAACAAATCCCCTACATCCTAACGGCCATCATCATGCTCACTCCAGCACTGCTTTAGAATTTTTTAAATGGACTTAAAGCCTGACTATTCTATGATTAGGAAAAGATTCCAACATTGTGCTTTAATTAGAAACAAGGAAGAAGTCTCGTGAGAATATTTTTGGAAGAATGTGACTGCAGCCAACAGGCATCAAGGCTTGTAGACCTGGATTTCTCAACTGCGAAGAGGAAGAGCTAATCAGAAAATAAGACAGGAGTGAAAAGGAGACTTAATTTATAAGGTCAGAGTTTCACAGTCTCCTACATGTGCAAGAATCTGAGAGAAAGTCTGGAAGCAGCACCAGGGCAAAGAACACAGGCCTTTCTGCTGCCATTATGGGAGAAAGCTTAAAAATGCAATGGCAGAGAAGGAGGGAAAACAAGTCTGGCAGGGCACTAACAGAAGCCTCACACAAGGCAAGCTTGAACTAGGGTCAAAGTAGGCTGATGGTACTTCTCTTTAGAGCTGACCTGACTTTTGACCACAACTAATGCAATGGTCTGGAGTTCAACACTTGCACCTGACTATGCTAAAAACCTAAGTGACATCTCTATATGGTTCAAGATTCTCAATTATGTGATCAGTGCAAATCAGCAGACCACCACATTCTCCTTCAGAGCTGAGAACACCACTCATTAGGTGCAGTGAGAATGCACACCGAACCGGAGGCCCAGAACTCAGGAGTGGGAGGTACCCAACTTTGATCAGAGTAAATAGAATAAAGGGTCTTTCAGAAAAGACCCTTTTTGTAGCACTCTGGGCTTACTTCTGGTATTTTTAAAGATGTTCTTCTTACAGATTGGACGGCTCCAGAAGACATCCTGAAGCAAACATGATACCCAAGTACAGTGTGACAGCCACCGAGCACAAGATAAAGTATCAGGGTACTGCTAGGCTGAATCTTTATTTCCTTGAAGCCACTGGATTTTGCCCCTTCTCTTTTTATAGTGCTACAGGGCAAGATAACATCCTGACAAGTAATACAATTAACAAAGTTCTAAGTGCCAAAGACTGACTAAGAGTGACACAGAATAAAGAGTATCTGCAGCAAATACTGAGCAGCAGGTGAAAGCAAACAGTCAACGGTGAAGTTCAATTGCACAGACCACTACTAATGCAGAGAGTTCAATGGGTTCAGAAGCAAATGTCAAGGCTGTAAATTCTCTCTCCTCAAATGCGTAAGATTAAAATAAGAGTAAGTGCTGGCTTCACTTGTCAGGGAAAATGCAGGAGAGAAATCCTGGAGTCTCAACTCAGGTGAGCTGAAAGGGAATCAGCTGAGGAAGAGCAGCAGCAGTGACCACAGGAACTCAACTTACAATGTCATGAAGAGGAACCTCCCATAACTTATTTAAGACTTAGCAAAGCCAAGCAAAAGGATAATGACTTGCTAAGACAATCAGTAAAATAAGGAAGTGCTTCTTCTGGAGTGCTTCAGCTGTGCGAAGTGATTTTTCACTGACCAACACTGACCTAAGGATGAAGCAAGAGATCTCCAGGCTACATAATCTGAAATAGTACCTCAAAGGGAAAGGAAAGTTTGGAGAAGGAGTTGCTCCAGTAGCATGAGCTGTAAATCTGAAAAGAATTTCTTTGGAAAAAATGTCTATTCTTAGAGTAGCAACTCTATTTGCTTAATTCACTTACCAAGTTGCTCAACACTCTGATAGCTAACAAATAGAGTTTGGGATTATTTCCTTTGTTATAGTAAAGTCACTGTGACAGACTATGCCTAGACTGACAGATTTTACTTGCTGTATGAATATTAATGATCATAGAATTCCCTTCTCAATGGTGGTGTTTAACATATGTTTCTGTAATTATGCATCATGCTGCGCAAATGCACCTCTCTTCTCTGGCAATAATCGTACTGCTGAAGCTCCTGTTACTCTAGAAAAGGTTAACGGGCATGCCGACATGAATTCTGTGACCTTCTTCAGCATAGAGATCTTTCTATCAACGTATTCATTAAAGTCTGCCATCAGCAAATGGATCTCCCATACTTAAGAATGAACTTCACATGGCAGGAAAGGAAAAAGAAGGAAGATGACCCAGACTGAGCTTGACATGGGAGGAAATACACAAGCAGTTCAGTCTGGTTTAAGAAAAAAAATAAATGTATCTGAATGATGTGGTGTCCATCATAAATAGGGAGCCCAGAAAGAACAAATATTATTATTCCCGAAAAGCAGAAGAGCGGTTTTCTGACACATACTCTTTGCAGGAAGCTGCCATTACCCTTGATTCTGCAGCACTGTGGCAGCACTGAACTATTACAAAACCTTTTGATATGCCAGGACCCTCTAAAGCAAATTTAGTATAGATGCTAATTTTAGCTTATTCACATAAATAACCCGTAATTATGTAAGATCCATTTGTGTTTAATCAAATTAACTTGTTTACAGTTTGCATTGTACCAACACTAAAACTCAGCAAACTGTTTAGCCTGTGATGACAGCGCAAACAGTCATAGTTGTCAGGAAAAGGTCAGTATTTATCAGATGTCCTAGCCTAGCACCATGCCAATTTTCTTAGCACAACACCTGGAAACCTGTCACAACACAACCGTAACTTTAAGGATAACACTATAGTTAAGACTCTAAGAAAACAGAGGGTGAAGGGCTGGAAGGATAATCACTATTCAGGGTCAGTAAAGTTTTTAATACAGCCTGTGTTAACAAGACTAGAGATCACTTCTGTCTCACATCCTGCAAACAGCTTGTGTAAAATGAATTGGTTTCAGCATTGTTTGTGAAAAGCACAGATTTCTGCAATCAGAAACCACCCATCCCATCTTTAAGAACATTTTGAGTAATCTGTGAAATAAACAAGAGATTCTTTTTCCCTTATTAATAATCTGGGGGAGGATTCTGAGGGATCTGTAGGACTCTTGTCAGAGTTGTAAATCATTTCCTACTGAAGATTTGGCTCTGTTTTTCCCTACATCCTTTTCTTTAGTTTGAATCTTGGACACCACAGACTTCTGGAGCTGCCTTCTCTCAGTCCTTACATGGTGCTGGAAAATTTGTCATACATGATCACAAGAAAAGCAGCTCATCGAAGAAGCTATTTATGATTTTGTGTCTGCTCCTTACTTAACAAAAATACCTCAGGTATTTGTTCCTATTAAGCACTGAACTTTCACTGAAATCTGTAAGGAACTCAAAAATCAGACAGGAATCAGGAGCCTAATTCTTCAAGATTCTGGCCTTGGTCCTGCCTGATCACTAATTTGGGCAAGGCTCACTGACCCTGGACTCTTACAGAGTAAAAAGGCTTTCTGTGCTCCATTTCCTTGTTCTTCCCATTTCTAGTTCCACTGCACTACTGATTCTTTAGTAAGTTTTCTTTCCAAGTATAACACTGTTGATGACCATTGTTTATTTCTACGTGGAGATCAAATCATTGGTCCTTTCCACAAGGTTTAAATTCCCCACAAGATTGTGAAAAGAGAGAAGAAAAACTGCAATACATAATTATCTATCAGCTTTCTAAGCAGACAGTGGAAATCATCAGTATTTCTACACTGTACTGTTTTGACTTGTGTATCATTCACATTCCTAACCTTACCTTGTCAAGGAAGGTGGGGCGGTCCATGGAAGACTCTTTGGAGATTGGTGGTGGGCGGCAGCCAAGGGGTTTGGTGACCATTCCATTATAGTCGGTCACTCCCATTCCACGCTTGTCCATTTCCACCTTCTTTTCCAGCAGAGCACCTTCACAGAAAAGGGAAATGTATTGAAAAAGGCAACACAAAGACAATGAATTGGCCATCAGCAGTTCAGAGAAGTAGGTCTTGCTTAAGAAAGCAGAAGTAAGAAAATCAGTATTACCCATAATCTGGATAAGATTAAACTCTTTGACTCATGAATGGCTCCTGTGTTGATTTAAAGGAAGAAAAAATTACACAGATACTTACTCATGGCCTGATCGAGATTCATATTGTTGCTCTTCAAGGCCTCTTCTGCTGGCTCTCTCTGTCAAACATACAAATTATGTTTAGAGAAAAAATAACCATGCTTATATGGTTTCAAAGCAAACAGAAAACAGGCTCTTCAGTGTTAAGTTTCATATTTACTTGGCAGCACAAATAACGTCTGTGCACACTTTTTTTCTGCTTTCATCAATCCCCACAACAATTAAGCTTCAGTTTGTCAAGTAAGTACCAGTTCTAAGTCAAATCTTACTGTTCAGTTTAAATCCATCTTCCCATTTTCTATGGGCAACTTAAATATCACTAAGATATGCCTTTAAGAAAAACTGGTAACACTTGTTGTATAGAACTCTGAACTTCAAAGATCTATAAATGTCATCATGCCAAGTGTATCATCGAGTGATCTCAGAGAACACTCTAGTAGCTTACAGTGGAGATTTCTGAAACTAGAATAACCATAGAATCATGGAATGGTCTGGGTGAGAAGGAGCCTTAAAAGCTCGTCTAGTTCCAACCCTTCCACTAGAGCAGGTTGCTCCAAGTCCCATCCAACCTGGCCTTGAACCCTGCCAGGCATGGGGCAGCCACAGCTTCTCTGGGCACCCTGTGCCAGTGCCTCAGCACCCTCACAGGGAAGTCTAAATGAAATGAAATGTCTGAATGCAGGAAACAGAACTACTTCCCAGCTTGAATATCTTTTTGTGGCTACAGTCTGAAACACTGACAGTCAGCTACCAAAGCTGGGGCATGCGTGTTCTGTCTGTGAACACTACTCACAGGGAAGCCCATGTCTGTGAGCTGTTTTATCAGACGGTTCATGATCCAGGCCTCATCTTGCTTGCTAGATGTCTTCATGCCCTTAGTAAATAAATTGGGAGATTCCATTAATGGTCTGGTTCCCTTGTTCATACTAGTGAGATGTACATAAAATAGATGGTAAGTTTTTCATATTAATAATACATGCTACTGAAAGATGTATTAGTACATTAATTTAGAAAGGATTGAAGAACCCTCCGAACAACGTAACTATGATTCTCTTCCCCCACAAAGTGTGCAAATTTTATCTCCGCTGAAGAGGTGTTCAGTGTACTATTTAGTATTTGATTGGCTCACCACTGAATTAAAGCCACCTTTGAATTTACAAATTTCATTTTAATTAAAGTTTCTGAAATAGTACAACACTTCCTGAAAAACATTCCCAAAACCAAGTTTGCAACCTTGAAGTTAAGAATGTTACTCAGTGTATTTTCTTAAAAACAAACAAGAGCGTCTAGATAAACACCTTTAAAAGATCTCTGTGCAGCTTTTCTATCACAAAATCCTTAAGAAGTCTCTTCCTTTCAGTTCTCCAGAAAGTACCAAGGGACAAGCGTGGATTTGTTTTGGGCTGCGGACAGTACAAGAAACAACCATACTTGATCAAATCACTGGCCTAACTGTTGGCAAATGGAATAACTAACAAACCGGCTAAATGCATTCCCAATTCCTTTAAGTTACAGCCTGGCCTTGTCCTGAAATAAAGACTGCAATGGAAAACTTCCTAACATAAAAGTATGTTCCCGATGGAGTGCAGCATTAACACAGGTTTGCTTTGTTCTCATACCAGTACAAAACTTACAATGAGTAAGTTAAGAAATACAAATCACAGAACAGGAAATAGGCATTTTTTTGTTGAACCATTTCATCACAGACTACTGTTTGCTTTTCTACCACCATGGAAAGTGTCTGAAAGCCCCATTAACCACCTTTTGTTTCTGTTAATACATTACAATTTCTTTAAAACACATAAAAGCTTTAAAACTTACAGAAAACAAAAGCAACAACAAAACCTCCCAAAGCATCTGACATGCTTAAAGTCAAAGCTCTCCCATTTTCCCCTCGAAACAAGGTACAAGGTTCTCCCATTCTCCCCTGGAAACAAGGTAGGCTGTACTTGAACCACTGTAGTGGCAAGCTGCATTCGTGTTCAGGTATCAGAGGTCTAACATAAGAGTTCAGGTGTAATGCAACGGAACAATTACTCTAGAAATGTTACACTAATTCCATTCCTTTTTAGACAGCACCTTGATTTTTGTCTTACCTTTTGAAGTCCTTTCTTCGGGGCATTCCCCCAGGAATTACAGGAGGAGCTGCTCTCTTGTGAAGCAGTATTATTCCACATATCTCCTTCTTCATCTTCCCACTGACTAGTACTGAGATTCACTTCATCCCCACCACTGCCCCAGCCTTCTTGCATAGATTTTGAAGCTGGAGGGAAAGAGTGAGAAGAAAAACATTACTCAGTTTCCTGCAAAATTAACAGGAGTATCTTTTTATGCCATATGCAGTATGTTAACCTTTGAGTATTTTCAAGAGATACAGAGATGCATCAAATAACTAGCATTAAATGATAAGGCCACATTCGAACCTAGCAAAAAAGAAAACTTCTCTGAATACTTCAGAGAAGAAAGCATCCAGCAACAGCAAGTCTTGCTTTGTACTGAACAAGTAAGATCTGTGGTCATGGTCGTTCCCGTCTCCTAGGAACAAGGAACCTGAAGTATGATCACACACTTGGCTAAGTGCTATTTTGCTTTCAATGCATCTCACCATTTTAAGCTGTCACATTCTTCCATCAAACAAAACCAAATTTCAAGGTCACTAATGGTCAGAAACTCAATTCCCACCTCAGAAGAATGGAATCTGAAAGGACACGTGGGCTGCAGGGAGCACCTCACATTCAATGACAAGGTTGTGTTACCTCATTCCACTTTATTCTATTTACTCTGTTCAAAGCTGGGATTACTCATCTTAAGACCTTCTTGTTTTATGTTTCCTGGGCTTTCTAACTATTTCTCAGTGAAGTATTTGCAGGAGTGAAAAGTAAAGACTTTCACAACCAAAGCAGAAGCATGCACTGTCGCCTTCAGGGCACTTAGAGACAGGGCATTTTTATCAAGTAATGTTAGTTGGGAACTGCGAAGCAGCAACTCGTTCACAATGCTCCTGAACCTGTCATGTTTTAAGAGGTGAAGAAGACATCCCTTCCCTTAGTTTAACCAGTGAGGTTGTCTAGGCATCCTCACGTGTTGCTCTTCCTTTATCTTAACTGAGCTCAGTTGCTTCTCATCCCAATACAGGTTTCTTCTAGGCACCTAGAAATAAGTATTATTCACGCTCTTCTGCAGTTTCACTGTTTCCTGCACCTCTACTATACTCCTTTTGCAGTACAAAAAAAACACTCTAAGGAATGCCTTTAAATTTATTGGCTCGATGCACTGTATTCATACTTTTGTATTAATCTGGTATCTGGAATATCAACAACCTGAGACAGCTAACACTGCTTTGAGAATGAAATGATTAAAACAGGCTCTGATTTAACTGCACAGAAATCCAGAGGTGATGTTCAAAAATACTCGCAGAGAATACAGACACTTTGCCCTGGTTTTCCCCATCCTCTTCTGGCAGTGAGGTTCATGCACGTACCTGGTTTGCACAGTGCTGGGGCAGCAGCTGGAGCATTTGTTCTTCCGTATGTCCCTGCCGACTCGGCAGGATTATCTCCCCACCCTGTACCACTGCTGGGGGGTTTCCCCCATGCTGAAGTGCCATTATCAACTGCAGCAGAAGGGGATGACGGCTCTCCCCAGGAAGCTTCAGTCTTTGCGTGGACAGCAGGCATTTCTCCCCAGCCTGCTGAAGCAAGGGGAAGGAGAAAAGAACAGTGACAAGAGGAAAGGTTTCTTCTGTCAATAACTTCAAAGACAGACAATTTATTAAAGAAAGAGCATGAACCAGTAAGCAGACACAGGGTCTCTAATTAAACATATGAAAATAAAACCCCTTTGATTTGGTCTCATAAGTCTTTTTCTTAATCAATACCAAGTTGGCAAGACAGAAAGAGTATTTTTAATGTAGCTGGAAGCAGATTGGCTGCCCATGTGAGCACCAGACCTGGTCCAAAGGGAGCAGCTGTGTACAACGGGAATACTCTGAGCAGACCAAACAGGGCTTGGGAAGCACACACAGCAGAAAGAGCATTCAGGAGACCTGGACCCAAACCTGAGCTGGGCTTTGCCTCACTGAAAGATTTTAAACTATTTTATCTCCTTTTTACTATTTACACATTCTAAAATCACTTTTCTCATGCCCTACAAAGTAGGGCATTTGTTACCACTTGCCACACAGATTATATGTTGCATGCACTCCTTAAAGCTCTTTATTACAGCTTGTGGTTGTCTGTGTTCCCCATGTACCCCTACATCACTGAGCTTCTACATTATAATAAATATGGCTTTTAAGGAGAACTAAACAAGACTGCAATTAAAACCTACAGTCAAATCACGAGGAACGGCAGGTAGAAGCCTTTGTTTTTCTACAGAGTATTATTTTAACTCACTGAAAGACGTAACCTGCTCTAAAGAAACCTTCTTAGTCTGGCTTGGCTTGAATGTAATGCGCTTAAATCCATATGACACTGATTTTAGCACTGAAGTTGAATGTGCCAGGAACAGCCATACAGCTACTGAGTCCTACAGAGCAGCACAGCCAAAATGCAAACTGAATTTAAACCAACCACTACCTCTTAAAAAAAGGTGTTTGGTTTTTTTCTGAAGAGACAATCTGGATCATAGATGGGGTTCAAAGCACTTTCTAACATACCAAGCAGCCTGATACATAACAGGCAAGAAAACAACAGTTTTACATATACCATACCTGATATTAACCAATTTTTCTATCATTATCACAAAAAGCATTCCATTTCATTCCAACCAAGACCTCAATAAGCACTGCAGAATTCAGCCTGCTTGAAATTTTCACTGTTAACTAGGCTGCTAATTCAGGAACTGGTTGCCTTTTTATTGGAGATGAATATTAAGAAGTCTGGGTATTTCACAATTTAAGGACTAGATGCCTACTTTGCTGCAGCACGATTCCTTTTTTGCTTCCTGATGCAATCTGTAAAAACACTCTGGAAAGGATTCAAAGAGCAGAAACAACATTTCCTACACGAAGTAGGGGTATGTAGGCAACAGCATGAAAGTTGCCACAAAAGAACTTTCTTTAAGGGTACCTTGAAATACATTAAACTAAGCAACAGTGTTTAAGTGAGCATCAAGTCTCTGCAGAACTTCCTGATTTCCACAGGATTTCTGTACTAGAAACTGCAGGCAACATACGTCGCCAATAATAACTCCCAACACTGGCTAGCAGAGAAGAAAATTCCTTTCAAATAGATGGGCTCAGATCTGCCCACCGCTCCGGTGTTCCTGTATTACAGATTTATTTTAGACTCTATTTCCTAAAGCAACTGCAGATCTCTCAGATACGGATCAAAGTGCATATGGCATAAAACATATCCAGACTAAGCCTACGTGTTCAGGAACATGCAGCTTAATAAAGCTCCTTCACTACCAGCGAGCTTCACTGTGGTTAAAACATACTCCTGAAACAACCCTGAACTTCACCTTTTCATTAAAGTGCTTTCCATCTGAAACAGAACTACTGTGTTCTAACCTCTACCGACCTATCTTGTATTTCTGTTTATTCTGTGTACAGGAGACAGACTCGGAGAGACACATGTGTACATATATAAATGAGCCTCCATTTAACACAACTTCCTTGGTGTTGCACCTAAAACACTTCTTCAAGCCTTCTGCTTGTATCTTGAAGCCAACTTTATTTAAGGAACACTTGATTGGGATTTCTGCCTCGCTACTCAGGAGGTAACCTTGTCAGACAACTGCGTGGATTTAATCACACTGGCATCTGAAAAAAGATTAACTGCAGGCAAATGAAACCGAAAACAAAACATCTCTAAAGCACCCACAGGAATACAAATACCAACAGAGTGTACAATACTGATACTCCCCTGAGCTTATGCAACCTAGACTGGAAACTCAAAGTAATTCAACTTATGAAATCAATCTTAAAGCGTAACATTCATACACTAAAAAGGCAAAGTGTGCTAGGCTGTAGGATAAAACCTCTGTGAGAATCGGAACTGGTCCTTGTGTTCCCTTTACTACAAATTCAACAACGCTGATTAAAGAGCACAGATGTGTAATGTCCAAGTTATATTAAGTGCTTTAAATGTGCTGAGCAGTAAATAATACAGGATTACAAATAATGAAGCAGCCAGCCACTGCTAAGGAGAATACTTGCAAATATATAAAAGCAGATAAAAGGCATCAACTACAAGTTTTTGGAAGTATATTAACACATCAAATGAAGGGGAGGGAATGAGTAAATCAAACCTGAAGCCTGCTGGAGAAATAATCTGTGCACAGCAAAAAATTAACCTGTATGTGAATTCCATAGTCCTCATCAGTTACAAACCTGTTCTTCCCTCTGTGTCAAGTACCTGCAGTCTTCATGTTACTGTATGAATACAGTACATGTCTCTGTGCTGCCCTTCCATGACTCCATATGACTACTTTAGAAACTTTAAAAAGGTCAATAAAAATACACTGTGAACGCTGCAAATCCTACAGGTGAAAGAATTCCTTTGTGTTCTCCAAAGGACTTTTTTTTAAACAAGGCTTTTCCTCCTTTTTTCATTAATCCAGTCTGTTCCATATCTGAAACAGACACAGGTGGAATGGTAGTTCAAAGACTCTGTAGTCCCAACAGCTTGTCTCTGGCAGTGTGATGCTTCCCAGGGTTATCACACACCTCACCATAAGGGCAGTCCACAAACAGCATTACAGGGGGACTGAATGAAGGCAAGAAGCTACTTTTAAACTCCTTTAGGTAGCTGTTTGGAAGGAAAACACCTTCACAGGGGTCCCCAAACCTGAACCCACCCTGTTTTCAAAAATTCTGCTCACAGAAAGGTTATTTTTTTCATGAAAATAATACTCATTTAGGCTTTTCCTATAGCTCCGGGCCTCAGCAACCACCCAGATCTGCCAGGATGTTGTTTTGCAACAGAACGAGCTCTGTTAAAAGGTTCTCTGGCAAGAAAGTGAGGTTTTAATACTGGAGTTTTTAAACACTGTTCACATCGCAAGAACCAAAAAGATCACAGCGAGTCATAAACATGGACACACTGGCAGAGCTTTGTTTTATAGAAATAAAACCATAATTAACATTGGGCTACAGCCAAGAGGAAATCCTCAAGGGAAAGTGAAATGTTAACTAAGCTGTGGCAGGATGCAGTTGTTTTCCCTCAAAATAACCCTATAGCCATTTGGATGGCAGGAATTGTTTTCCTTGAAGTTGTTTGGTCTGTGATGAATACCAGAGCATATGACTACAATACAGGCAACCCAAAATACCAGAACCTGATGTCGATGAAAAAGGAAAAACTAAGGTAGAAAAGAGACTGTTTGTTAAAGTCACTAGTTAATCTGCTAATAGAAAAGAAATAAGCTATGGCGGTGGGGAGTGTAAAAGGGAGGGTTTTATATAAGTGAACTGTAACCCTTAACATCTGAACACTTCATTTTCTGAAAGGCATTCCAGTTCATGTGGTGGGGCTCCATGATTTAGGGAAGTATTAGGGAAGCTCCCATTTGCCTTTCAGCACTGAGATCAACCTTGTGTGGAAATGGAGGGCAGCCTGCTCAGGATCACTTGGCTGTCCCCAGAACCTGGCTGTTAGAGGGCTGAGCACAAGGTTTTAGGTTTTCACATGAGTATCCTAACGGAGCTCAAAGCTGATCTGGTTTCAAATCCATTCTGATTAAAGTTCCAAGTAAGGAAAACACATCACTTGCACTCTCTGCTTCATGGCAATTACATGCTATGAATGACACAGAAGTTGCCACCAAGACAACAGCACAGGAATGCAAAAGGAGCAGATGATGTTCAGAGCTTTCAGAAGTCCTGAATTTCAACCTAAATCTCCAGAGGGAAGCTTACATTATGTTTTGCTGTTTCTATTCTCAGCTGGAAGATTGGAACCAGGCTGGAAGGTTGGAAACCTGCCAGCCAGGCTCTAACCACATAATGGGAACAAGAAAGCATCAAGCCCACCCCTCAGCATTTGGAGGAAGGATCTGGTGCTGTCTGGGATCCAAAACCCTCTCTTTTAATCACCCCTGTTTGCAAAACCTTTTCTCACTTCTTATTCCCCTTGTATCAAAGTTGCAAGAGTTAAAAGTGTTAGTAAGAATTATGCGTAAGTAATTTAGATAACAATTAACTCTAAATCCAAACCACTACACTGGCTTCCTGCTTGTCTTTCTAAATAACTCACCACTGGTTTGGTAGCAAGCTCCTACAGCCAGAAAGGACAACATTTATCACATTATACACACACCACCCCTTTTCTGACAGAAAAAGGAATTCCTCTGAGCATTATGTATTTTCAACACATGTGTCCCAGCATCTGCTTCCCATCAGTAGCTTTTAAGTTCTGTATTCAAAGAACTTTGAGAACTTCTGGGGATGGGTGACAACTTGAATAACAAGACTGCAACCTGGCCTCTACTTCTAAACTAATACAGAATAAACACAGAACTCAAAACGGACTGCTGCTCCTTTGTAAACAGCTAACTAGTGCTCTACAGCAGAGTTAAAATCCACTTCTTTGCTTTCAGGATGTGTGACTGCCATCTGACAGCTACGCAACACTTGCACAGGAACAGAACCCATGTTTCCTTATTTGGGGTATTGCTTGAATAACAGGGAATCATAAAAATGATTGCCAAAGCATGCCATACCCATGCAGAAGACAAAACATCAGTGACAACTACTTAGTTCATGTGTTGTAAGATCTTAGATGAGCACTTAACCTGTGCCTTATGGCACCGCCTTTAAATACGCAATCATGTTTTGCATGGAAATACTGTAGAAGGAAAATAATTGCTGTTGGATGAAATATGGCTGGGGATTAAAGAAGTCCCCTGGCTACAGGATTCTGGTCTCCCTTACTGTAGTGGTTGGAAATGCATAGCCAACAGGACGGGGACTTGGCACAGGAGAAAATAAGGTTTAACAGCACAACACCAAACTGCAAGCCAAGGCCTGTGTCACTGGCAATCTACTCAGTGCTCTTCTCATCTTTCAGCTGTCCCAGGCGGGACATGATTTGTAGATGTTTCAAGTCTGTGTAGATTTGCACAAAGACCAACAGGACACTGCTGTACAGCTGCTGGGTGCTGTAGATGTTAAATCAGGTCTGCTGCACTGGGAATAGGGAAGCTGATAGGATCAGTTTAAATGCCATTCCTTGCTTCCTCTTTCTCTCTGTGTAGAGATAAGCACATGACCCCACTCTGCCCCTCTGGGGCACAGTCAGGAGTAAAGATGGGCATAACACATAAAGGCTCATGGGATTGCTCCTAGCTTCCAGCTGCAGACTGGACAATAATCCCTCAAAACAGTCCCAGGTATGGCTTTTAAATCCATACCCATGCGCACAACTGTACGCAAGCAGAAATACACGATGCCTAACTCATGCTCTCAATAACTTGATCTAAATTTTAATATCAGAACCATGTTCTAAACTGCCTTCTGTTGCTTTTGTTTTAGGATCTAAAATTCCTTCTAATTAACATTTCTGCACGATGCACAAGACTGTCATTTTAAGGAGTGGATGGTTACCATTAATAAGCAGTTTTCTGATTGCACAGACATTCCTATTCACCAGAGGAACTGCTGTAGATTAGCACTAGCTTTTAAATGCCATTTTCAACATATGAAGGACTCAGAACAGTAAGTTCTCCTCTGCAAGGTGTTAGATTATTTGAGCAGCATTAACAATATATATTATTGTATACAAACAGTCCGACAAGCACCAACATAATCATCCAAAAATCAGCCTAGTGGAAGAGACCCCACCAAAACCCTACTTTTGTGATCTCTCCACTACAATTCAGAAATTGGAATTGTCAGTCTCATGGGTAAAGTTTCAAATATGGATGAAATACGTTTCAGGTAAATGGATCAGAGATCACGTATGGCGGACTGACCAAGGACAAACCTATTTAAACATTTCTCCTCCTGGAGCACATGCTATTTTATTACAATAGATATTCTCAGCCATTAAAATATTTGACCACAGTAGGGAATATGAGACTATTTTTAAACAGATATTACAGTAAGTTTTAATTACTTCAAAACATCAAAGAGAAAAATGACGGAAATAAGAGAACAAATCCCACTTGGAGAAAAACACGCTGAAAAAGTCAATATTTAGCCACGACAAAGACGAAACAGAAACTTGGGAGACAAAAATCAGATGAAGAATTTCAAAGAGCACTGCAAGGCCAGATTTATTTTGAGAAGTTTGTGGTCATGATATAGGGCAGAGCTCCCAGAAACTTTTATTTCAATACCTCCCCCTAAGCGGTTTTCTCCTTTTTTCCCCCCATTTTTATTCCCTGATGCTTGTCTTTGGTTAGAAAAACTCCTAGATGTCTAAAAAGTTGTCTTTGGAACAGGGCTGAAGTTAGAATAACTTCTCCCAGCCAGCTTGAATATTAACATCTTTAACCAATCCAGCTTTATGAGAATCATGTATAAGCCCAGGGTACTACCCGTGCTTGAGACCTGAAGTATGGAAGAGAACCATTTCTTCATCAAAGGCAACAAACAGAAGACAGAGCAACAGCAACAGCATGAATTCATGCAATCCTTAAACCGCATCTGGTGCTAAGAGATATGGCTTGCAGAAAAGAAACAGATGCATTCTGCGTGAACAAGAACAAAGACCAAGCAAGGGTACCAGAAGACAAGACAATAAAGGTTAGCCAAAAGGCCCCAAACTCTCCAAGGGTTGAATTCAAAGGAAGTGCTAAGTAACAGTGGAAGAGCTGACAAAATAAATATGGATCAACTATCTAAGGACCTAGGACTTTACTGACCAGGTATTGTTGCAAGCCCTTCTTATGTTCACTTGGACTATGGAATTCTGTGTGTCGGATTCCATGGGTTCTGTTGTCCTCAAGACAGAGTGTGTGACATAAATATAAGATTTCTATCTTTAATGTATAACCAGAGTCAGACAACATTCAGTAACCTGTACAAAGCATGTTATAAAACTATTTTCATACCTGGACCAAGCAGCGGGGACCGGTTCGGCTGGGCACTTGACTGGTGCGATGGCTGAGGTTCAACCATGTTGGTGTTGATAATGGTGCTAGTGGTGGTGGTATTGGTTGTGGTACTGCTCTGAATTATAGGATTATTTCTATCCCACATGTTTACAGTCTTGTTGTTGTTGTAATTTGGGTCGCCCCAAGCTGAGGTACCATCATCGATTTCCATCTTGCGGCGAATGGACGGTGGAGATGGCTCTTCCCAGCCAGTTGCCTCACAGTTCTCTTTTTGTTTGGCTGGCACTGGCCCACCAACCCACCCTGACCCCGTCTGTTTGACAGAAGCAGCTCCTCCCCAGTTACTTACATTGTTGTCCTGGGGTTTATTAGCCCAGTTTTGTTGGGGGCTTGGCTTTAAAGATTCCCCCCAACTTGTACCTGTATTAGCCTTGCTGTTTGTGCCATTTCCCCACCCACTGGTCCCAGACCTTGTGGAATCATTCCAACCAGACCCTGATCTATTGTCAGAATCCCATCCAGATCCATTCTTCTTCCCATCACCCAAGTGTCCAGGAATAGATGATGAATCTGTCCAATCTCCACCTCCTGAAGTCCAGCTTGGATTTGATTTCTGTCCATCTCCCCAGTTTTGAGATTTGGGTTTCTGAGGTTCACCCCAGGTAGGTGATTTGTCCTCCTGATTTGCGGTCCCACTCCAAGCGTGGCCGCTTTTGGCAGCAGCAGCATTATTAACAGTAGTAGAGCTTGCTGACTCCCCCCATCCCCCCGGGCCATTTGGTGCTTTGTTGTTATTGTCTCCCCAACCTGTATTAGTTGGAACAGCTGCCGGTGGAGAGTTGACCCACCCAGATACTGAAGAGGTATTTGTACTGTTCATGATGGACCCATCATTCTTCCCCCCTGAGTTTGAAGATTGAGTAGCTGCACAACCCCAGGCCTCTGTTCCATTGTCATTCTTTCGTTCAGACCTTGGGGACTCTTCAAATTCCCAGGCAGTGTTTTGCTTTACAGGGGTCTGTCCCCACCCTGTATTGGACAGGACCCTGGGGTCAAGGTCGTTTCTTGGCAACTGAACTTGCCCTTGGTCTATCATCCCTTTGTCTCTCCTCCTGCCCTCTCCAGCCCCCTCCCTTCCAGTACTGCCTTCATTTTGACTCCCACCGCTGTCATTACTTCCTTCACTAGCTGTGGTGCCAGATGCTGCAGCTTTGGCCCAAGAGTTTATTTGTTCATTGCCCTGCTGCATGGCAGGATTCGGACTGGTAACACTAGAGCTATCCCACCCTGTTGATCCTTTCCCGTTGACGTCGCTATTGGAATGCTGGTTTGGGGGCTTGCCCCATTCCCCGTTCACACCGTTACTGGTGTTCCGGTTGGGGTGGCCCCACGCTCCAGAATGCATACTACCAACACCGCTGTTGCCACCACCCCTGCCCCACGCTAGTACCCCAGGACCAGAAGGAGGTCCCGAATCCCATGCGCTCGCTCCGTTTCCCTCTTTTTGCACAGCACTGCTGGATCCATTTTGTTTAGCACTTAATGCTGAGTTCACAGTGTCTCCATTCCCCTGACTGAACCCAGAATTGCTGTTTCCTGTGGCAGGATTAGCTGGGGACATCCCCCACACTGAACTGCCCATTCCTTCACCACTGCCCCCGCTGACTTGAGAAACTGATGTTCCGTTAGCACCAGGAAGGCCTTGCAGGTGGGGCGGGATGATGGCCCCCATACCAACAGCCATCCCCCAGTTCGGCAGTCCATTTGTCTGCATTGCATTGATAGGGTTTGGTGAAGAGTTCATGGGGTTAGTGTTATTTGGTCCATCAGTGTTAAGGTTCTGAGGTTGTACGCTGAAAGACACATTCTGAGAAGTGGACGTTTGTGGTTCTGTGCTCTCTTGCGGCAGCAAGTTTCCCCAAGCACCTAAGGTGCCTGTTGGGTTCCCATTCTGGTTGCCCATGTTCTGACCTATGGCACTGACTGGACTGCAAATACTGGAAGGGTTGCCTGCTCCCACAGTTCCTTCATGTCCAAGTACAGGCCAGGCAGCTGGATTGGCATTAGGGTTAAGGTTAAGATTAATGCCAGCATTCGAGTTGGAAGCACCCCAACAGTTCTGACTTCTACCATCTCCCATCATGTTGTCCATCTTTCCATCCCCAGCACTGGCAGAGCAGTGAGCTAGGCCAGAGCTGGAGCCCGCAGCCACCCCCCACACTCTGGCCGAGCTGCCGTTACCGTTTGCTCCACCAGCTCCAAGGGCACTCTGGTTAGAAGTGCTTTGGACGAGTGCTCCGTTGGCGCCATTATTGCCATTAGTTTTCTTTGTATGTCCAGTGAAGTTGCCTTGGGCACTCCCTGTAGCCATGCTACTGTTCTCTGAGCCACAGTTGGAGGCAGAGTCAGTGTCTGTAGTACATTCTGAGGCAGACTCAGTCTCAGCTCCGGTAATGGAAGGCCACGCTTCCTTGTCAGTCCTGTCTATTATCACTTTATCCCAGCTGCAGTTGCCTTCACTCCTGAAAGCGGGCTGCTGTCCCCAGTGGGAATTCTCATAATGGTCTCCCAATCCACTGTGGCTGAGATCTGAAAGGATCCAAACAAGGTTAAAAGTTAAAAATGAGTCTTCTCTTCAAGCACGCAAAAGCCCTCAATTAAGCACTATTTTACGTTGTTAGCTACAACACTGCTAAAATTTAGAATATGTTCTCTACCATAATACAGACATTTTCCTCACTACAATAAAGCACAATGCTTGTATTTACCTTCTTTTTAATCTGGCAAAACTCTCAATTAGAATAATGGAACAATTCAGTTTTAGAACAGAGGAACAGAAGTGTTTTCTACCCTTAGTATACTAGTAAGAATAATAATCAGGCAATAAATAACAGCAGCAAACACACTATGAAAAATCTAAAAGCAAAGCTAAAAAGCAAATTTGGAAAAAAACACAGGAGAGTATCTACCAAACTCTTATCATTTATTCTGACTCAATTCTCATTCTTTGAAGAAACACAAAGGGCATTAACAAAAACTGCATGTTTGCCTGCTGTTAGAACAAACATCACATTTAACACACTAAACTCACGCTGCATTTAGGTTTTTCACCCTTCCTGTAAATAAAGGAACAAACAGACACCTTTTCTATTCAGTTCAATTATACATTTAAACATCTCTACTGTAACTTACATTTTAGTAGAGAACTTGGGCATTTCTAAGTAACAGTGAGTTTTGTCAAGAAACTTATGTCTTAAAGGGTTACATGCAGCTTTTGCACTTGTGCATACAGCCCGATTTTCCCCCAAACCCAATGGAAATCAATGTTATGTCACACAGGTACCCAAAAGGCAGTATTTTCAGAGCACTGCCCACATCCTCAGAGACACTAATACAAAACATGAAACAAAAGCTCTTGAGCACCTCATTGTTTGCTGCAGGTACACCATGTTGAACTGGAAAATACAACACTTCTCATGCTGAAAACTCAAGCTTAGTTCAAGGTTTTGCATTTACTTTCCCATCCCGATTACCCTCTACAAGATTTATAGTACAGATTACTCCTTCTAGTTTCTTTTGATGGGAATTTGATAGCAAGTAATTCAGCCTGACCCTAGGGACATGTACTACAGGTGATCTGCGGAACAGTTCCTCTTAACTGGTCCTCTAAATAAGGCAGAAAACTGCATATCCCTAAGTTACAAATTACGGATGTCAATTATTTTTACTTGCAGAAACAGGACTTTGATTTTTTATTATTCGGATGAGAAGGACATTGTGTGGGGAAGAGGGATGCAACAAATCTCTCAAATCAGCTGTTACCAGTGGATACCTAACATGCATTAATTTCAGTGACAAATATTTGGGTGTGATGAGCTCCTCTAACTGCCTCCAATTAGAGCTGCTCTAATACTGCAGAAAAACTGTTCCAAGAACAAAACAGCAGCTTTCTCTCGACGAAGTCGTATTCACACATTTAACCTGTAGCTTTTCAAGAAATGGGGGTGATTACTTGGTTGGCTCATGAAGATTTATCGAGATGAAGAAAGCAGGACAGACTGCATTTTCATTTATTTCCTCTTGGGTTTTATTTCTTTTTAAGTCAGTTAAAGCAGAAGTATGAATGTTAGAGAAAGGAAGGGAAAGGAGTCTTAGCTCCTCACCTGTCTTCTCATAATGCCAGGAAAAGCCTAGCTTTTCAGAGAAAGAGCTAAATAATTGACATGCATATAACAAGTCCAAATGATTTGTCATTGAAAAGGAGCCACTTGGATTTCCCTGCGTTCACTCCACTACGTGCAATGGCTAGAAAGGAAAAACGCATCATGTTATTCCCAGATAAAGCCAACTGATTACATTACAGAGCTAAGGAAGAAGGTTGAAAAGTTACCTGATAATCTGGGTTTGTTACACGGGTGTTGAATAGAGAGCAGAATCCCAGATAAGATGCATGCGATAGCAGAAGGGAAGCCTATGAAATGGCTTCAAAAGGATCAACGGGGTCAGAAAAATGAGCCAGTAGGAATGAACAAAGAAAAAAGCAGGAGCAGACCAGGCCAGAAGGTAAGAAGTTGAGGCAAGCAAAGAATCAGATAAGAGGAGCTATGAGAAGCTTTTTAACTTTGCACTGTGGGTGGTGAGATTCGGCACTGACTGTGTTTCAGACACCACAGGAAGATTTAACAGTGCCTTGAAATACACTGTTCGAATGAAAAAGGTCTTGTCAAAGCCGAAACCCAAGCTACATGTGTGAGTGCCTGGGAGAACGATGGTGCTGCCCGAGGCAAGTGTGAGACTGTCTCTGCAGGGCAGGTCTGTGGAGACGGATCAAGAGCCCAGTGCAAGATGCCTCAATACTCTCAAGAATGACACCAACACTGACCAGAGGAGATGAAAGGCAGCTGCTTGTTTAATCTTTGCCTTTCCCTTTTCCTCTCCCCCAGAGCTGGTGGTTAAAGCATGGCTCAAGTTTGAGAGCAGTGACAGAAAGTGGAAAGGGGTGGGAATGGAAGAGGAAGGTGACAGAACAGCTTAGACAGATTGCTGAAAGCAGGGAGCAAAAGGGTTCATTAAATAAGGCAGAATTTTGAAGGGCATTCAGAAACAAGAAGGCAAAAAACAGTGAGGGGGAGGAAGTATAAAACCCAAGAGATGTCCATGTCCATATTAAAAATAGAAAATGGCCAAGTGCCTCAGTCTGGATAAGCACATCTACTCCAGACAGTGTCACACCAAGTATGTTTGTCTTGGAAGACACACACACAGCTCAAACCCCTTTGCTTTTCAAGGGTTTGCAACTCCGTAGTTATTCCTCTTTATGTACCATCAGCAGAGCTCCTCTTACTAAGGTTCAGATTATGGCCTCAACAATAACCAATGATAACCTCTAAGGAATTACTTGGATAGGGATTACAGTAATTCCATGAGCAGCGGTGTACCTGTGCTCTGCCTCCCCTGCTTTGGAGTCACCGGGACTATGCTGGGACCTTTCCTAGGCCAGAGATGCAGAAATCAGAGCAAAGCCAGAGACCTGCAATAACTGGTTCTAACACCAAAGGCTGCTGCTACAAAGCTTGTAAGAAACAGGGTGGGAAAAAGAGTTCACAAAGTAAACAGAAAGCTGCAAAAGCTGTGACTTTGCTGCCAAAAAACCTTAACAGTTTGAGTACAGAATGGATCCTGAATAGAGTAATTTTTAGGTTCTTGTCTCTAGGAGCAAGTAACCAACAGCCATTTTCCCATCTTCTCTAGAGTAAAAGGAGTTAATTCGCATAAACTAAATAACTAGTAGCACAGTTATACTTAATCCATAGAGGCTTTAAACATCTGGGGAAAAGAATGAAAGCAAAGTATTTTACATGATAAAATCTTGAATTTCTTTGCTTGGGGCTAGGTTTGGGTGTTTTGAACACACAGATTTCCTCCAACTTTCCAGGAAACCAACTCCTTATAGAAATTGCCAGTATTTTCCTGTATTTTCAAAGCTGTTGAGACTGAAATGGGAACCCATAGGACATTAAAAAAAAAATCCTTAAGAATTACTTCCTCCCTTATTTACGCAAAGATCAGAACTAAAAGCACTGCAGTCCCCCAAAACCGTTTCTATCCTCCCTCTGTCAACTGAGCAAAGATTTAAGCACAGCACGAGGAACAGGAACCACAGGTATTTTGTGTTAGCAAATCCTAGTGCTGCTATTCCACAAAGTGAAACGGACTTTTAAATGAGTCATTGGTGGTGGGAGGAGATTGCTGTTGTCCCTACACACTGTTCCCAACATACTTAACCAACTTCAACTTAGTGCATACTAGAGACAGAAAACACTTTAGGCTATGTTTGAAAATGAAGATGAGTAATTAGTTGCAAAAGCAGTTTAATGTTTACATAAATTCCAAATGTAAAGTATGAGTAGAGTGAAATGACAAAAGCTGTTGCACGCATTTCTTAGAAAAGCAAAATACCTGCAACTGACCCAAAACTTCCATCCTTGTGATGATGTCATTTACAGTAATATTTCTTTCAATTTTTATTCAGACAAGTTAAAGTAACTGTATCTTCATAACTTCCATTGCAGCAGTTAGTTCAAATGCTGCACAGTAAAACGATGCATCCTCAATATTATCAGGAACCAGTGTATGAGAGGGTGTGGAATGGCAGAGCCTGGGATAAACTTTTAATAAGATCCACACTATTAGTAAGTTCTACTCATCCAATTTTGAATCAGCTCTAACAGTGATTCCCTCTCTTAGTACCAGTTCTGGTTTTCAGTTCATGTTAGTCAGCATTACAACAACCTGCCTCATTGACTCGTCCTGTCCTGCCCAAAGGAGAGATTACAGGCGAGGCTGCTCTTTTCTGTGACATGCAGAATAGAGAAAAATCCCAAAGGCCAGTGACAGCCCTCCTGGGGATTTTACTTGTCACACAAAGGTTAGCCATTCTGAGCAGGAAGTGAGAAAAAAGCGCAAATGACTTTCTCCCCTCCCAAAACAGAAATAGTTTTCAATTCAACATGAGCAGACCTTTAAAAGGCTATACATGATTTTTTCTAAATCTAAATTCAATAGGAATTGCCAAAAACATTTTAAGTGCTTGATGAAATGGAGCCTGATTTCATAAAAGGAAAGATGACACAAGCATTTATTCCGAAGAACAAAATACAGTTAAGGCAGAAAATCTGGGAATTGCAGTGCTGATGTTTCAGGTTCTCTGCCACATCCAACTATCCATACGCTGAGGCAGAAGACAGACCTGAAAACTGCCATCTCTCTGAAGCCACTTCGAGAGCTCCTTAAAACAAGTCTCATAGATGTGAGGAAGCTGAAACCTTGAACAGCATAACATAACATGGAAAAGACAGGGAAGAGATGGAAGCATTGAATAAAGCAGCTTTATTTATTTTAAAACTAAACCACAGTTAAGTACCCGAGTGGCAAAGCCCGTTATCCTGTTACGACATTAAAATGTAGTTCCTCTCCTCTGATGCTGAAAGCTTTTAAAACACATTAACAAGCCAAACCCAAACAAGTTTTCATTATCAGCAGAGACTCCACTAAACGCCACCTCTCCACCACAAAAAGCAGTCGAAAAC